CGACTAGGGTCGGATCTGGGGGTGTTAGGTCTGGATAGGGGGTGGGGGGTGGGTGTGTACTTACCTGTGTTCCTAGCCGTCGTCCGCCGCCGCCCGCCGCCGTCCGACGACCGTCTAAACCGCCGGCAGGGAGGACGGAAGCAGAGGGTCGACGCGCCGGCGACTGCTCCGAGAAAGAGCCGTTACCAGTTACGGGAGAGAGGAAAGTCAGAGTAGAGGAGAGAGAAAGTCAGAGCCGTGTCACCAAGTACTATTTTGGGTCATAGAGGGAACTGGAATCTAAGCCCTAATCTGTTAAATGCAATGGGGACATGATGTTGTTTTACAATCACTTCTTTACATTGAAATCTTCTTTTGGTACTAATTTATTTACTCATTCATTTAGGGCGTGCGGTTGAAACATGATTTTGAATAGCTCTGCTCATAAATCCCACTATGACATTCTAGGTGTCAAGGAAGATGCAAGTTACGAAGACATTCGAACAGTTTATCGATCCGCCATCCTCACCTTCCACCCAGACAAACTGCATGACAATAGCTCTTCATCAGAACCATCTCACCATTCTAAGCACGAAGCGACTAAGAACGCATTTCTTGACATACAAAAGGCATGGGAAATCCTTAGCGACCAAAGATCACGTGCTGCCTATGATGTTGAGTTGCGTGCCATGAGACAAGACGCGGCAACTGCAGAAGATGTGGGGTTTGATGATCTCAAAGTAGAAGCGAGTGGTGGGGATGATGACGGGGTTTTTGAGCTGTCTTACCCTTGTAGGTGTGGCGACTTTTATGTGATTGATTCTTTGGATTTGACAAGCATGGGATATCCATTGGTGAAGGGTAGAAGGGAAATGTTCATTGAAACCTCCAAGGATTTACCAGTTTCAGTTGTTCTTCCATGTGGATCCTGCTCTCTCAAGGTTCGCTTATTGATCAATCAAGACACTAGGCTGGCTTCCTCTTCTGGATGAGATGCATTTTGTTCTGAGAATTTGAGAAGCTTTTTTTTTCCTCATTTCCTTTTCAAGTGCAGTGTATTTTTGTGTATCATATATACACAGTTTTGCATTCTTCTTCATTTCATTTCCCATTAAATACTCCCTCCGTCCAAAACTATATGACATGTTTACTATTTAAATAGTCAAATTTTATTTATTTTCTTTAACGGTTTTCAATAATTATTTGATAATATAACATAGTAATGTCATCTCTTGTTTCGAAGAATTTTGATGTAATTTTTAAATATGTAATTTTTATTATTTAATTTATCTCAATCTTCAAATAAATTAAATTAAAAATAAATTTAGTCAAATATTATAAACTGAAACAGGCATTATAAATTTGGACAAAGAGAGTATCATGCAAGACAAATTTTTAGACGGTTTTAGGTTCATATTTATTTAAAGGATCTTAGAACATTAGAAAAAAAAATGTAATGGGCTTTGTAAAAGGCCAATAATTTAACTATGAGCCTAATGAAAATACGTGAGAGGTCTACATTATACGAGTATCTGTGAATTGTAGGACTCCAATAGCTTAAGTCATCAGGCTATGCCGCTTTGCCTTGTCTCTAAGATTTTTTACGCATTCACGAGCAAAATTTCTATTCTTCATGGAAAGAAGCCAATTTTTTTCCCCTGCTCCCAATTATGCACGATAGCAGATTCCTTTTTGACTTTCGACCATGTACTCCTTATTTAAGTTGGATTTTCGTAATTGGTAAAGACAAAGAATTCTAAGAAGAAGATAAAACCTATGTTTGATTCCCGACAATTGTATTGGGGACAATTATGTTAAAAATAGGGTAACTATAATAACTAGGTGCAGATTTCACTCTTTGTCATCAATCTGTGATCAAAGTCTAATTTATCTTCTCTTAGTGACCATCTGGTCAAATGTGAGAGTCGAGACTCATCTTTTTTTTTCTTATTTGAATTGGATGAGTAAAGAAAAGTTTTTTTAATAAAAATATGCACCTCATCCTTAGTAAGAATCACCCGTACAATTTTGCTTAGGTAAGGCCTAAGAGCATCTCAAAAGTAACTTCGTGTCACATCGGTACCTACTGAAGTTACCCTTTCACTAACTTAGCATACGTAATACTCCACTTCAACGGCAATGGTTACACATTTCTTATTCATTTTTAATATTTATTTATTTGTTTGTAATCAACTTAAATTATATCTTTTAAAGTAAAAATTAAAAATAATATTACTTTAAGCTTTTTTAATTTAGAAATTCTATTTTTATTTTTCATTTAAATATTTTAATATTACCATTTTGTATTTATATACTCCCTTCGTCCCAATTTATATTGTCTTTTTTGGTTTACGATGTTTGACTAAATTATTTTCAAAACATTTTATATGAAAAATAGTATAGAATTAAAAATTAAAAAAATTACATATTTAAAATTTTACATCAAAAGATCTACAAAACTAGTTGTGGCATTATTATATTATTTTATTAAATGACTAACGAAATTAGAGAAAGAAAGTGAATGAAATTTGAACTTGTGAAATTTGATTTAATTATTCAATTTAATTTAATTTTTTACGTTACAAGTAACACTAATTTCAATTATGATGTTTCCAAACATGCTTTACTAAATCCGTTTTAGGTTGAGTGTGTCTCTATTGCAGATTTTGGAGCTTACTGCGACTTGTGCATTATTTGAGATCTCTTCAACGTCAATATTGCCCGGCTCGTAGTTTGCACGAATAACTATCCTCTTATCTTTTATAATCATAATATTTAAAATGTTACGCGTGTATATTATATTTGATATTTTCTCGTAAATATATAATCATATTATGTAAAATGGTACATGTGCAATAGATTTCTTAAAAAATGGAATCCTACATGTCATTTTAGCAAACTAATACGTAGTAGCATTTTGCCTACCAATTTCTTAACAACTAATCAAACTATGTTATGTAAATTATACCTATTCAATTATTTATCACCGTATTTCATTATTTTTACAATTTTATAATAAAAAATACTCCTTAAGTCCTAAATTAAGTTGCCTATTTACTATTCATAGGATCAAATCTAATTAACTTTTAAATATGTAAATTTTTTATTATATCCCATTTTTCATTTAAAATGATTTGAAAATAACTTCAATCAAACATCGCAAACCAAAATAGGTAATTTAATTTGAGACGGATGAAGTATTTATTTTATACTTGTATATGTGTAAAATAAAAAATACTCTGTATAATTAATAAGTATGTTTGTTAAAATAGCAAGTATTTGTTATAAATAGCAATTGGGTTAGTTAAAATAACAATGCTGCAAAAGTTCAACTCTTTCTTTGGATGAACACAATTAAAACTAAATTCCAAAAGAATATGCAAATTAACATGCTTACAAGAGTAGTAAGCATTTGCTTACAACGCTCATATGAAGGTCCACCTAAAATGATGTGGACCTTAGGTCCATGAAAGAAACATTCTCCAAAAACGGAAAATGCAAGCTTAATTGCAGGATGGGTGGAGCAAACATTTTCCACATCAAAATGTCCGGCTAACATTAATCTGGGAAAAATAGTATTCATAGATGTGAAAATATCCGCTCATTATTATCCTTTGCTTAGAATTTTAAAGAAGCTGATTGCAACAGAACAAACTACAGCGCAACCAGCAAGCTCAAAAACTAAACGGGGACATTATTATATAAAAAAACGGGTATATATCAACATATGCAGATTTATGCCCTTTGCTCAACATAAGAACCAGCAAGCCCAGATGTCCCAAGAACTGTAACCTACAAAGTATGAAGCAATGCCAGAAAATAAGAATCATACTAAAGCTGATACTCTATGATGCCAATTCATATTACCAGAAGAAAACATACATGGGCAGCTCTCCTTTTTTTACTTTAGGATGCGTTTAGTTGTTGTGGTGTGTGTGTGTGTGTGGGGGGGGGGGGTCCTATGATCGGTATAATTAACTTCCCAACCCATCCTCCAACAAACCAAACAAGGTAACATTAAAAGCCCTTCCCTCTGCTAACAAATGCACCCTCAAATGCCTAAAACTAAATCTCATTAAAATTTCTTTTAGCCATGTTGCCAATAAAGCTAAAAAGTCATATTTGACCATGCTTTAGCTTCAGGTGATAATCGATTAAATCAAAATGACATTAAACTTCCTTCTGCTTCTCACTTTCTATGAAGCTTTGGGCCATCAATGCATCAAAGGTCTCATGGAAACGGCCTCTAAGGGAGTCAGGGGTAAGGTTGCATACATGTTGACCGGTTGACCCCCAAGACCCAATGCATCAACTTTCTACTAGGATTGTTGTTAATATTAACTTTAAATGTCCGAAAACAATGATTTTTTGGGTTGAAAACTATACCTTGTACCAGTCAATATTCAGAAATTCAATGCCAAACTCAAGAGAGAACTACAACATTATTTTGAATATATTGCTGATGTGATATGAGTTTAGTGTTAAAATGAAGCTTACCTTTCCCCAGTCAGATCCTAGGCCACTGCACCTCATCTTCAAGAATATCATCCTGCTTCCCAGTTCAGTCTCAACTTTCTTCTTTAAATATCCCTCCTCCGGCCCAAAGGCATCCAAATATGAATTATAACGTTGGAAGATTGTATTCACTGCATTAGCCATATCTCTTGGGATAGGCTTCACATTCTGTCACATATAGATACAATCAGCATGCAAACACACAAGAATGCATACCTATGCATACAAAGCATTATCTACGCCCTTCATCGCCGAAAAGTCATGTTTCATAAAGATACAACTTTTTAACTACGGTAATGTACGACTCTTTTAAATCATCCATCTAGCTTATGTTTGAAAACCATTTGTTTGTAGAAAAATATTTTTTTCATTTTCGATCTGGGGACCCTACTTAAGAGACTAGACTTTATTGTTGATGTTTTTAGATGGAGGGAACATCTTAAAGCTCTTTTTACCTCACCACTTGATCCAATGGCATCATCAATTGCCATTTTCAAGTTCATTATTATCGCAATGAACTCCTCAATGGCTTCTGCTGCACGAAAAACATTAGCCAGGGCCTTCTGGCCAGCCTTGTCATCAGTACTTTTGGACAATGCCTTGTTTGTTTCATCAATAACAGCTTTTGGTATCCCATCCCAGCTTGCTGCCATTAAGTCTTTAAAAGCACACTTGATTTCTTCATCGTGCAGACTTGGCATGTGTGTCACATGCTCACTGAAGGAACGCACGCTTCCCAATTCAAATGCAAATGGATAACGAGAATCTACACCAAGTAAACCAAAAGTGTAGATACAGTAAAAAATATATTGGTGGGGAACTAGATAATATAGAAAATATTCAAGTACCCTGCAAAATATATTTACTTAAAAAGGTATGCACAATCCCTTTCTGGGAGGCTAATTGTGGAAGTGGACACAGTCCTACCTTTGTTTGGGGTATCTTGCTTGTGATTTGTCAGGAAAGGATGGGTTGAAAGGTTGGGGATGGGAACAAGATCAGCATATGGGAGGATCAGTAGATAATGGACTACTCTAACCAGTGTTCAAGGAGACAATTAGTATGATCTAGTTTGTGGCTGATTTAATTACGCATGGGTTGTGGAACTTGGATAGATTGGTGCTTGCTTCGATGAAAGAGATGAGTTATACTGTATCGATATCTTTGGCGGAAAAGTAGAGAAGATATGCATATTCGGATGCTGGAAAAGACTGGCTGCTATTTTGACAAGAGTGCCTACAAGCTCTTGACATGGAATGAAGATCAAAATTCAAAATAATTTGGGGGACGACAGACATATGTGAAAGAAATTCTAGTGCTTAAACAGTCTGCCAAAGGTTATTTGGTGTGCCAGTAATAATGCAACTCCATGTCTAACGCAGCTGGGTAAGAAACATGTGTAGCCACTGTTTGCTTATTGTGCCATGGGGAAGAGGAAACAATTATTCATCTAGCCAGCCGATGTTCATATGCCATATTTAGGGGTGGAAACAGGAATGACTCGTCAAGGGCCCTTCGCTAAGCTCATTCAAGGCCTTGTCAGGCTTGGCCTTGCAGTACAAAAAAGGCCAAGACTGTTCACAAAGTCTCTTTAAAAAAAAGGCCAGACACTGCTTATTTCCTTTTAGAGCATGTCTAATTGTGAGTCCCAAGTCCCATTTTGAGTGGGACCAGAACGGGCCACAAATGCTAGGAATGAGACTTTAAAAGATGTTAGACTTCCCTCTTCAATGAAGAGTGCCATTTGAAATCCCACATGTTTGAATAAACAAAGAAATAACGAGAGAAGGAATGAGTTGGGACGGTCCCTAGATAGTGGGATGATCCCATAATTTCATGTTTCATGCAATGCCATTGTATCATAAATGAGTTCTACTTACATGCAAACTAGGAGAGAGATTGAGTTGGGACTAGCATTGGAGATGTTCTTAGGAATACTAAGCCGGCTTATTTGTTAAGTTGTTTGAAAATAGTGCTTTGGTTTTACTTTGTAGATTTTGTGGTATTTAACTTAAATGCAATGCAAGTTTATCAAATGAAAATTAAAGTTATGAATCATAAGACCCTTTCTTCAAAACACAAATCGTATCGTGTTATTAAGCATAAAATAAAGAATAACAAAAACATAGTATGCTTTTTCCAAAAAATGTGTCATAATAAAGAAATGCATGACTTGATATGACACGTAGAAGACATGCACTAACATTTACCTTTGTTCAACCAAGGTGATGTTCCCTTCTTGCACTACTTCTATTAAATAACTTAAAATAGTAGAAAATGTTTTTAATTCCCAACATAAATTCTCCCTCACATCTTATAAAACAATCATTTTTCTTAAAAATACTACATCTGTCTCCAAAGCAAAATCTCATTTACAATTACAAGGTCAAAGTAATTCTTTTTTCCTCAAGTATTTTCATTGATTGTTTGATAAAATGACATAATAATGTCACCTTTTGTTTCGTAGAACTATTGACGTAGTTTTTAAAGGTATATTATTACTTTGGGGAAATTGGACAGAAACATCACCAAGTATGGGTGATAGGACGAAAAAACTACAGACAATGAAACTGGCCAAAAGATTACCATCACCTATGTTGACCAGAAACAATATACATGTCGTTGGAATACGAGATCTGTATAAACATACTGGTGTGTTTCTGTTCAATCTTTCAATGTTGGTACTTGGTAGTAATCTGTCTAATCTAACCAAACCAACCCCCATGCTTAAAAATTTATGTACATCCCTTTTAAAACAACCTAGTAAGATCTCATAAAAAGTAGGATCTTAGGAGTGCACGCAGACCATTACCCCTGCTCATAAATAGAGAGAGGTTGCCAAGAGACCCCAGCTCAAGCATAGAAAAAGTAAAAGAACAAAGTAGACAGAAAAACAAAAGCAAAAGAGCAAAGAGCAAAATGAGGGAAATGTAAGAGCACATAGACATGAAACACACCAACCAACACTACCAACTAGACAATAAGCACACACACACACACAAGTAAAAATGCACCTGCAAAAACTACAACTAAGGCCCAAAAATCTGCAAAACTACTCTAATCCCAATTCCCAAAGGTTCATTTCATTCAACTTATATTTCTGCTTATTACTTATTAAAGGCAAATCAAATCAAATCAGATCAGATCCAATAAGATCAGATCATATCAAAAACTTTAAATATGACTACAATCAACTCAGATTAGACCACCGGCTCTAATTAGATCAGATCAGGCCAAATCTTCAAAAAATCAAATCAGATCAGGACAACAGAATGCAACCTAAATCTCCATGCACTCATATCTAAGGCCATATCCTCAATAAGAACTTGAAGTCTTAAGACTTGTCCAATCACCTCCTTCCAACTCTTCTTAGGTCTACCTCTACCCCTTCTCCCGCCTACTGCACTCTGCACTAGGCCTCTACACTTATCCGCTTCACGTGTCCAACTACATCAGCCCGTTTCTCTGGCTTCTTGAAGCTTATCCTCCACAGGTGTCATTCCCACCTTTCCACGACTAACCTTGTATGCCCCTTTTTCTCCTACTACCGTAACCCTTTCGCATCTCCGCACTTTGCGCTGGGCCTCTACAATTATTCGCTTCACATGTCCAACTACATCAGCGTGTTACCCTAGCTTCTCGCACCTTATCCTCCATAGGTGTCATTCCCACCTTTCCCCAAATAACCTTGTATGCCCCTTTCTTAGCGTTATTTATATTCTTTTTTTGGTAGAAAGTTTCACTAATGATAAACATTAGTCCTTTACAAATGTGTGGCGCATGACAATATTTTTTTAAAAAGATTTAAAATTGGCTATGAATATTAAAATTTATCGAATATGGATTCAGTATTAAGAATATTTTTACAAATTCGTGATATGTTGTTTTTAATAAAATATTGTTTTTATCACAATTGAATGTGAATTTCCATATTGTTTTTCATCATCTCCGATGGATCCAAAGATTCACTATTTTTTAGGCTTTGGGATATGATGAACTAAAGCAAAATGACTCTTTAAACTGTTTGTGGTTCTTTTAATACTGAAGTAGCAATTAGTCAATGCAACGTGACACTCATCATGGGTCATCAGGAAACAACCACTCTATGTTTTAAAAACAAGGGTCAGGCTGCATACGTGATTACCTATGGTGCTTGAGCTGGGGTCTCTTTTAGAAATAGCCTCTCAACTTTTGAATAGGGGTAATGTCTGCATAGACACAACCTCCCAAACTCTACTTTTTGGGATTTAACATGTTTGTTGTTGTTTGTTTGTTTATTTGTATATGTGAGTTTCTTATATCTAACACAGATTACATAAATCTTAAAATTCATAAACGAGTTTTGGATCTGTATATTTTTGCATGGATGTGTCATGTGTGAAAAAATAATAATTTTTCCATTGGCAAAATTTCTTAATGATGAGGACAAATATAAATGCAATTAAATATACTAATGGGGGACACATATTTTTTGTGGGGGCAAGATTGAACAAATATACTACCAACAATGAAAGATTGAACAAAAACACTTTTGTACATTTATATGAATCTCATTTATACAAATTTTCATATTGCAGCGACATTTATATTGTTTTTTAGAGGTGAAATTGGTAGTGTTTCGACCAATTTCACAATTTATAGTGTTTGTGTCCAACCAACCATACTTGGTGGTGTTTCAATCTTATTTCCCTTTTTTATTTCTATACTAATTTTCAAATAAAAGGAATTGAATTTTTTAGTTAATCATCGTACAAAATGTTTTTTTTGAGACAGAGGGACTGATGGAGTAATAATTTTCAACCCACTTTTCAACCACTCCTAAAACTCATGGCATTTTCACATGAAAAGTTATTATTAGGGAGGAGGGAATAAACCAAAAAGGAGGTGAAGTTGTTGATCAAATATTTCCAATTGCATCAATGACTAATCTGCATCCATGCTTCAAGATTCAGAACTTCAAAACACAAAATGAAAAAAAGGGGAGACACAAAAATAGTAAAAAAGGAATCTCACGGAGCTTATCAGTCACCTACACCGCTGCACAGAAGAAGAAAATTGGGTAAGCACTAAGATAATTAACATTGGCTGCAACTATGTCGCTCACACCAAAGAGCTAGGAAACACCATCCCTAAGATCCTTCAAGGTCGATCTGCTCTGCTAATGCAAAAATTTAAACTGTGCAATTCAAATATTGAACTTCAATTCTTAGGACTTGGTACAAACTGTTAGGGTAGTTTTGTCGTATCTCAATTTGTGTCTTACGAATTGTAAAATATTAAGTATATAGAGCTACAATGATGTAAACTTTATCACGTACAATAACAACTAAGATATTAAAATCCAACAAAAGTTAGGTTTGCAAAGGGTGTGTGTACGTACACATCACCTCTACTCGAATCTAGAGAGGATATTTCAAAAAGACCCCGGCTCAATGATATAAACATCATCATGTATTATGAAAAATTAGTTTAATTACGTATTTTCAGTAATTAGACGTACAATTTAAAAACTGTGAAGATTCAATGCTTCTCAACCGGCCTCAAGTGAGGCCAGGCTTTGAACAGGCCAGCCTCCGCCAAAAAAAGGCCTCCTGGTCAAATGCCAGGCTCAATACTTATATATTCAAAATAGGTCATGCCTCTTTATCGGGAGGCATGTTTTGCCTTGGCTTATTTCTAACCTGAAGGAACACTAAGCGAGTGGTGCTTGGAGTTTCCTCTGTTTAGGATGTTTTAATTTAGAAATGAGGTTTTGTGGATTGTAGACCAATTTTAGATAAACACAAACTTTTTATAAGCGTAAACTTACTAAACTGATGAAACTGAGTATCAATCTAATCTCAATACACTCACAGATGTACAAACTTATGTAGCGAAGAGTATATAACGAGATGATTGCGAAGGGAATACCTAGAAGAACAAATTCCGGTGAAGCCAGCAAAAAAGTAGAAAAGAACAAGGAAAAAAATTTAGCATTCTATATGTGAAAAGAATTTTTTGTATGTTAGGCAAGAACTCATGTTTCAATCTAATCTAAAGGCACTATTTCTATTTCCCTTTATCCTGCCCATTGCCATCCCTACTAAGCAACAAGGTAACATAGAGAAGTGAGTGTTCAGAGACATTATAAACCAAATTCCAAAGAGATGAGATGGAGAAGAAATTGATGGTTATGAAAGCAGACTCAAGAAGAGGCAAAGTCATCACAAACTCATTGGTAACACTACATCTTCTGTCTTCAGATTCTAGTACGTTCCGAATTGGTAATGATTCATTAAAATTTTACTCATTTCTAAATCAACACAAACTTCATCTTTTTAAAAAGGACAAGTGACAAATCCCAAAGTCTTATGTCTACAGATACGCAAAGATGCAAATTATATCCCTTATAAGTGTAATCAGATACAATTGAGCATCAATCTAATCTCAATACATTCACACATGTATGAACTTATGTAAAGAAGAGTGTGTACAGAGATGATTGCAGGAGGGAATGAATACCTGGAAGAACAGATTCCGGTGAAGCCAGCGAAGAAGGAGAAAAGTGAAGGTGGCGGAAGGTGTGGTGGTTGACAGCGTCTGAGACGGCGACGGCGGTGTAAGAGGAGAAAAGGGAAGATCTGCGGTAAAAACATCTGAATAGCAGCGATCTCGTGGGCATCATTGTTGCCATATCTCCTAACGAACTGCACTCTCTTTTACTTTGATTTTAGAAGTCAGAAGGGCATATAGATTCAGCTCGCGTAAAGGAAGAAGCCCATGTGTGCGGGGTAAATTCTCATTTTCTAACAAAATATCTACGGAATATTTAGCATAGGTTATAAAATTAATGATGGTTTATTTATTTAATTAATCAGACCTACTTCTATAATAGTAGATCAATACACTCATTGTAGAGTAGTATTTTTTTACTGTCCCTCTCACGTGTATTTGTATTAATGCTAAACTTCTCTACTATAAATAGAAACTTAGGGGGGTGTATTCAATTTAGATTTTAAAAGATTTTGAAAGATTTTTTAAAATACATGGATTATGTAAAATCTATGGATTGTTTTAATTCTACACAGAGTTAGATAGATTGTAATGTATTTTATTGATATGATTTAAAGGATTTTGTGTGATTTGTTAAAAAAAAATTCTCAAATTGAAAAGAAGATAGACCTTCAGTCACTGCCAGAAGCTCGACACTTTCTCAGAAAAAGTTTCAATGCAGCTTCATCCTCTACCCACCTCACCCTCACATTATCTCTTATTTGTTCTATTTACAGAAAAAATAATAGAATTTGTCAACAAAACCTAATAAAATGATTAAAAAAATTCATCAACACAGTTGAATTATGAGAGACATGGCGGTGTAGCCGGAATCCGAGAGGGCTTCTACAGTGGTCCGTAGAAATTGAGGCGGCGAGTGTGGCGACCGGTCGCCTCGTGCAGCGGATAGAGAAATGGAGAAGAGAAAAAGTGCAGGTGCAGCGAGAGGGAGCAATTTGGAGGAAACCATTGTTTCAACCTGTATCCTCTCTTCGTGGAGGCTGGCGAGGGAGATTTTGAGAGCCAGATTTGAATATCTGCTTTTTTGGATGTTGCAAGAGATTTATGAAATCTTTGGATGTCGCAAGAGATTTGTGAAATCTTTGGAAGACGACCAGAAGCGAGGATGGAGGAGAGATGAAGAAGATGGCTGAAGAAGAAGAACGTCCGATGAAAGCCGAAGAAGAAGAAACGGCCGAAGAAGAAGTAGGCTGAAGGATTTTATAAAATCTTTGGTTTTTGGGTGAGATTTGGGAATGGATTTATATTTATACCCAATGCTTACAAATCCATTAAAATCTACATTTTTAAAAGTCTTTAAAAATCTATTGACTTTTTGAATACTATCATATTTAGAAGGATTTTTTAAAATCTCAATTGAATACATTCAGATTTTAAATGACTTTTTAAAATCTGAATTGAATACCTACAGATTTTCAAAATCCAAAAAAATCCATCAGAATCCTGATTGAATACACCCCCTTAATATCCCTCCAAAAACACCATTAAGATTAAGATCAATAGAATTTAAAACATATCTCTCTCTTATATCTGAGTATTTTTTTCTCTCATTTCTTAATACATTATCATCACGAGTTTGCTCGTAATCTCTGAAATATTGTTCTTCTGAGAAGATATGGAGATAACTGCTTATGGCTTCAGTGGCAAAGACCAATGTCTAATAGACAGTGCCACAACGCACACCATTTTAAGAAACAAAGAATACTTTTCTCAAATGACACTGTTGGAAACTAATTTCAATACAATCTCTGATGTTGCAAAGCTCATTAAAGGGTCTGAAATGGCTTGTTTAATCCTTCCCCAAGGGACAAAATTAATCATCAAAGACGCATTATATTCCAGCAAATCCCGAATAAATTTATTGAGCTTTAAAAATATGCGTCAAAATGATTATCACATTAAAACCATGAAAGGAAATCAAAATGAATACTTGTGTCTAACAACAACCAAATCTGGCAATAGACTCTATTATACTCACATTAGTCACGTTGAAGTGAATGTGGTCTCTAATAAATAATTAGATGATCAGAAAATATTCATTTTGTGGCATGATCATTTGGGTCATCCTGATAGTGTAATGATGCACAAAATAATTCAAAATTCACTTGGACATCCATTGAAAAATATAAGGATTCCAAGATCAATTGATTTTCCATGTGTTGCATGCTCTCTTAGAAAAATGATTGTCATGCCATCTCTAAATAAAACTGAAGTTGAATCTTCTGCATTTTTAGAAAGAATTCAAGAAGATATTTGAGGGCCAATTGCTCCACTATGTGGACTATTTCGTTATTTTATGATGTTGATCGATGCATCAACACGTTGCTCACATGTTAGTCTTTTATTTATAAGAAATTTTGGATTGGGAAAATTCCTTGCTCAAGTCATACGTTTGAGAGCTCAATTTACAGATTATTCAATAAAGAAATTCCAACTTGATAATGCAGGAGAATTTACATCTCAATCATTTAATGACTATTGCATGTCTATTGGGATTGATGTGGAGCACCCAGTTACTCATGTGCACACTCAAAATGGTCTTGCTTAGTCTTTAATAAAGCGATTACAATTAATTGCTAGACCATTATTGATGAAATCCAATTTACCTGCATCAGTTTGGGGACATGTTGTATTGCATGCTGCAAATTTAATTCGGCTAAGGCCTACTGCAAATCATATTTTTTCCCCATTAGAATTGGTTACTAAAAAAGAAACAAATATTATTCACATAAATATATTTGGATGTGCCGTATATGTACCAATTGCTCCACCACATCGTATAAAAATGGGTTCTCAAAGAAGGCTGTGAATTTATGTTGGCTTTGATTCTCCATCAATTATAAAATATCTTGAACCCATGACTGGTGATTTATTCATAGCTCGGTTTGCTGACTTTCATTTCGATGAGACAGTATTCCCAGTCTTAAGGGGAGAAAATGAGAAAAAGGACTCATGTACGAAAGAGATTACATGGAATGCAACGTGATTATCTTTTCTTGATTCAAGAACAAATGCATGCGAACAAGAAGTGCAAAAGATAAATCATTTACAAAATGTTGCAAATCAATTACCTGGTGCATTCACGGATTCAAAGAAAGTGAAAAAGTCACATATTCCTGCTATGAATGCTCCTGCAAGAATTGAAATTCCTTCAAGGAAAAATCATAAGACTCTTGCAAATGAGTTTTCAATATGCAAAAAGCGTGGCAGACCACTTGATTCAAAAGATGCAAAACCAAGAAAACTTAAAAGGTAAGAGACAATGTTTGAAACAAAAGGTGTTCATTCTTCAAGGAAAGAAAATGAACAAATCAAGCATGTTGATATAAAAAATAATATCAACGAACAATTTGTTTCTAATGGGGATTTAACAATCATTGAAGATGCAAATTGTAATATTCTGATTTGAAAAAATAAATGGATTGGGGAAAGAAAAGACTCAAAAGGATTGATAGTATTACTCATACCAACAAGATGCATCTTCTTTTCGAGAGCTCATTACCTAGAAACTCCAAAGTAAGTGTGCTTGACCTGGAGCTATTTTAGGATGGGTGACCCCTTGGTAAATTCCTTGGGCGCGCACGAGTGAGGACAAAGTGCGCGAGAAAGACTTGTGTATGTTTGTGGGGCCAGTCTACAATCCTATGAGCAAATGCTTACAGCTAGGGTGGGGTCAGGGTGTTACACGAATAATTCAGATGAAGATAGAAATTTGCACTCAAGAATCCAAACTAGCATGCTGCTATGTGTGAGGAATTTAATGCTTTAATCAAGAATGATACATGAGAACTAGTACCCCCTTCCCCACCCAAAACATTATAACTGGTAAATGGGTTTTTCAATATAAATTTGGTCCCAAGGTAAGTTAACCAGGTACAAAGCTTGATGGGTTATTTGTGGCTTAGCTTCCACCAGAGGTACGAGGTTGATTATGATGAATCTTTTAATCAAGTGATCAAACAGGAAACTATTCGCATTGTGCTTTGCGTTGCTCTTTCCCGAGGATGGCCCATTCATTAGTTGGACGTCAAGAATGCCTTCCTTTATGGCCACCTCAAAGAAGCTATGTATGCCACTTAACCTTTTGGGCTTCAGGATATCGCTAGGCCTCATTATGTCTGCAAGATCAAGGAGGCTCTCTATGGCCTAATAAAGCAAGCACCAAGATTGTGGTATCATCATTTTGCCAGTTTCATCCAAACCATGGGTTTTCGTGGTTGTAATTCTGACACATCCCTCTTTATCTATTCTCGTGGTGCAGACTTGGCCTATCTTCTTCTCTATGTGGATGAAATTGTACTCATTGCATCTTTAGAGTCTCTTCTTCAACAATTAACTAAGAAGCTCAAGGGTGAATTTGCTATGACTAACATGGGAGATCTTAACTTCTTTTTTGGCATCAATGTGCACCGTACAGCTGATGGCCTCTTCCTGCATTAGACACAATTTGTTCATGATATTCTTGAGCGAGCTGGGATGGTCTCCGGTCGCCCCATTTCCACTCCGGTTGATACAAATGTCAAGCTATCAACCGCGCCCAGTTTCTTAGTAGCTGATCTTGCTCTCTACCGCTCAATGGTAGGTGCCCTGCCGTATCTCACGTTCACTCGACCGGACATCACATATGCCATATGCCGTTCAACAACTTTGTCTCCATCTACGCGCCCCACGTGATATTCATCTCACAGCCACGAAGCGTGTTCTATGCTACCTTAGCGACACAACCACCTTTGGCATCTCTCTCTCTCTCCATCCAGTACTAATATTCGGCAGGGCTGGATGCCTAGACACTCGCAGGTCCACATTCGGGTATTGTATATTTTTGGGGACAACCTAATCTCTTGGTCCTCCAAACGATAAGCCACGACGTCACACTTTAGTGCCAAGGATGAATATCAGGCTGAAGCAAATGTTGTTGCTGAGAGTAGCTGGATTCGGAATCTCCTCCTAGCAAGAAGTGCAGTAGCCCCTGCGACACACCAGACTTATCTTCTGTGACAATGTCAACGCTGTCTACCTCTCCACCATTCCTGTCCAGCATCAACGTACCAAACATGTCGAGGTAGACATCCACTTTGTACGTAACAAAGTTGCCCTTGGACACTACGAGTCCTTCATATACTGTCCCCTTCTCATTATGCTGATATCTTCACAAAAGGACGTACATTTATGTTGTTCACAGACTTCCGCATGAATCTTGTAATTCGTCCCCCACCACGGGCGATGTAGCCAGGAGCATGTTAAATAAATTCAATATATTAATTATTATATTATCTTATTGTAGTTACCTTTTGTAACTAGTTTCCTTTGTAATTAGTTTCCTTTTATAATATCCTACTATTAGTAGGATTTGGATTCCTTGTATATATACATGTAAAGTCCCACATAATGATTAGTGGAAACTATTCATTCTTCAAGAACTATTAGAGAATGGGGTAATACTACACTTATACCACAAATTGTACCCCATTTGTACACCGCAGGTATACATAAACATTTTGATGATTTACACCAACACAAGTGTTGGTGCGTTAACAAAAATTTACACAGACACAAAGTGTTTGTGCATTAACAAAAATTAGTTTTACACAACACAAAGTGTTGGTGCAAACCTGCGGGGTATAAAGTGGGGTACAAAAACATGGGATACAAGTAGCTTTATCCTAGAGAATATTGCCTACCATTATTCATCACAATTAAATATTCCCTTCCTTTAATTTGTTGCACCTTGTTTTTTGTAGCAATTAAAGTTATTGTAGGAATCTGCTTTTCCTTGCTTGACTTTGTTATTTTTCTCCCTATTTATTCAAAAAAGAATCCCTATTATTATTATTATTATTATTATTATTACTACTACTATTTAATTATCATTATCATTATGATTATTAGTATAATATTATTGTTAATAATAATAATAATATTATTATTATTATTATTCTATCTTGGTAAAAAATGAAAGAGAATTTAATAAACAAGAACTGCGTGTAATAAATTGATACCAATGTAAGGAATTAAACACCCAATATACTGAGAAAATGATAGAAGACAAACTCAATAATAGGGAGTAGATTGTAGTATTATTTAATAATCTGAATAACATAAATACTCCAATACGAAGTAAATTGTAGTGCATCAAATGGAATGATCCAATCACACAATTAAACAAATTAAGAGTTCAACTTATTGAAAGAATAACACCTCAAAACTAAATACATATGTGCACAAACAAATCGAATGTTGATATGTAATACACGCACTGATTATTATAAGATTTAATCTCACAATCATAAATAATTACGGAGTATAATATTTATTCCCATGCATTCACCAAATCTTTGTGTTGTTAATTTTTGCTTAAGATGTCGGATCAAGTGGTACAGTGGCCGGCCTCATCAACCATATATCATCCCAACTTAATTGGATGGGCTCCTTTGTCCAAGCCTTTGTTGGTGAGTGGTGACCTCATTTCTCTAAGTCTCCTTTCCTCTGATAGTAACTTCGCAAACCTGAAATAACCCACTTTTTCTTTTAAAAGCTAAGATTGCATTTTTCTTATTGATCTTTCCCACAATATGTTTACATTTTGTGCTGCTAATGGTATTTCACACTTGATCATTTGTATAAGTATATACACACTCCATCCGTTAAAGTGCTATCACATCAAGGGTATTTTTAGAAAGTCTATATCAAAATATTTCTTCCTTAGTTTCCCAAAAAGTCAATAAAGGAACGACTTTAAGGGACGAAGGGAGTATAATTCACAATAATTTAATTTTGATCTTAATTACTTAGCACTCGTAATATTGTTAGTAGCTAGCTAGTGTACGTTACCTTTTGAGAGCGTCCTCGTTTGTGCCTGCATTTGGAATTGGTTCGGTGACACCACTGACCATATTCACCCTAGAAACGGGTTTTTTCAAAAGTTTTTCTCCTATTTCAACCAGCCTTTCCAAGTTTTCCTTAGTGGCCACGTCCACGGAAGATTCCGTTCCGTTCAGGGCGTCTTCCTGTTTAATTAAATGTGGAACACGCTAAGTATTTAGTGGCATTAAATACACCCCTATGGTACGTATTATTAATCTTTTCCTCCAAATTTAGTTCTGTTTTTCTTCTTTTTTGGAATTTAATTATTCACTTTCTATATTCATAAAAAATTTGAACAATATTCTAAAAAGTGTGTCCGTAAAAATAAAGACTTTTAAGTTAGCATGATATGGTCATGAATTCGTTGACTCCCCTCTCATCATTGACATTATGGTGCCGCTGGGTTCAGAACACTTGCAGTGTTCCATTTGTAAAATTAATGATTCTTACCCCTTAACCCTCTGTTGATCCGAACTCACCCACACCCCTTAATTTTAGTTGATTTTGAAGTCAATTGAAGGCGTGGCGGGTCAGAAGGTTAAACAGATTGAAGAAGTTAGGTTAAATAAGAATTATCAATTTTACAAATAGATCAGAGTGCCATAGATGCGTCAATTTGAACCAGTGAATGTCATCATCCGTTGACACTCACTTACTTTGAGTGTCAATGGGACCTCACCGAATGAACATAGACAATTAAGGCTATAATAAGAGAAGGATATATAGGGATTAAGTAGGAACGTACTTGAATTCTTAGATAACTGTCCTCGCAGTGGAGAGCCTTGAAAACCACAGTATTGTGCAAATCCACCATGTCAGCACTGGACTGGGAGAACACTTCAATCAAAGGCGTTGAGCTCTTGTGAAGCAGCCAGTCCAGAATTCCCCACTTGGCCGCCTGCTTGGAGTCGTACTTCTTCTCGTTCTTCGCGGCGCCCGTCCCTAAGGATATCACCAGAAATCGCCCGTAATCCATGGGCTTGATGGGGAAGAAGTCCGGGTTGTTGTCAAATATCTGCTTCGTCACTTGTGACATGGCTACCAATGTCTGTATGTCAATCAAAGTAATAACACGTTAAAAAATCGATAACTTTTACCCATAATAATCTAACACATTATATTTATTCAATATTAATCTAAAAATCATATCTTATTTTTACCCATCACAAAATTGAAAAGTCCACTACAAAATACTCCGCAGCTTTCTTATACTCCCTTCGTCCCCCAGTATTTGTCCACTTTCATTTTTACACACCATCCAATACACTTCTTTAATTCATTTTATCTTGTAATTTGTATATTCAAAAATTATAAAAATTATATATTAATAATCTATATGTTAAGACAAATCAAACAAGATTACACATGACTATATTTAAACTTACACATTGAGAAAATTTGATGAGTTAAAGTGCTTAGATGAACCGTTCCAAAAATCAAAACCGGACAAATATTGGGGGACGGAGAGAGTATTTGCCAAAAATCAAATTTGAAAGTATTTTTTGAAACGGAAGAAGAAATATTGCATACGGGATTGTTTGCAGCAACGCCGCCGTCGATTAGATTGTACTCTTTGATTGTCCCTTTGTGGGTATCTTCGGTCTTGAAATAATGAGCAGGAAGATAGGTAGGAGCGGCCGAAGTGCCAATGCAAATGTCGCACAAATTTGCATCCCATGATGGGGATTTCTTAGCCTGCAACGTGACCACATAAATAAAAGCGTAATTAATCAACCACAATGTAGGTGACCAAATTTTAATAGAGCTCAGAGACACGCCAATACATAGAGAAATAAATATTGTTGTATATATTCATATATAAAATAATATATACCTTCGTCTTTAAAATTAAAACATTTTTCTTTTCGTTTTTCATTCGTACGTCTTAAAAAACGTTTTTCATTTGTATTAAAAAATCATTTTTACACTTACTAATAATTCTTAACGTAGCTATCACATCACATCTATTCACTATTAATTTATCTATCAAATCATACTTTTATCGATTACATTTAAGGGATGATTTTGGAATACCTCGTAAGTGGAGAAGATGACAGGTTGCAAAGTCTTGATGTCAAAAGTTGGGATGACAATATTGGTAAGTGTGTCTTTTAGGCGAATTTGCTTCAACTTGTCCTTGGCGAGATTATGCAGGTACTTGCCATCGTATTTGGGCCAAAACACCGACCCAATCAACTTCCATATTGCACTAATCCATCCTCTGTTGAATTACATGCATGTCAAATTCATACTTGACCGTTTTTTTTACTTTTTTACTAGAAAAAGAAAGAAAATTTGGTATTATATTATACCTCTTTTGTGGGAAAATGTTGGGACAATGGTTGAGGTAGAATGGCTTGATATCTCTAGCGGCATAAAGGGGGCGGTCATTCTCGCCGGGAGCGGTCAACATGGCGGTCACAAGCCCGCCTGTGCTCGTTCCTGATATCACGTCGAAGTAATCCGCTAGTCTTGCATCTTCTCCGTCCAACTCCTACGTCACATCAACTCTCAATATTTAATTAATTATACTCTTTTCGTCTCCATTACTTGTCTAATTTTTCATACTCTCTCTCTTCAAATTTAAATTATCCGTTTCAGTTTAGAGTATTAGACTGAAATTATATTCAATTCGTTTTATATACGGAGTATAAAATTAGTTTAAAATTTTAAAATAAATTTTATTGTTAAAAATGACATCTAAAGCTTTACAAAATAAAAAGTGACATTAGTATATTATTTTATCAAATCAATACCAAAAATAGATAATGAAAGTAGTTAAAGTTTGATCATGTGATGTCAGAGCAAACTTAATTCAATTGGGATAGAGGAAGTATTAAACTAAAAAATTACAATCAATTCTCTAAAATATTCTACAAATATATGATGAGACTATTGTACTGTTGACATTAATTGTGGACAAAGATTATTCAAAAAAATTGTCATTATAAACTTATCAATATTAGACTATATTAATTAATTACGTTTGTCTTCTGATCTATTTCGATATACTAAACAATTATTTTAAAAAAACTAGACAATCACAATTCAATAATATATATAGTATTCTCATAAAAATACTTCTTAAAATGAGTATTTTGTGTCGTTTATTATCGAACTTCAATCAAATAAAGTACATATTTCTTCTTTGAACTTTTAAAAGTGCATCATTAGTACCTATATTTTTTGAAAAAAATTGATTACTTCACCTCCAAATTTTTATAAAATACGAAGTACATGTTTACCACCTATAAAACAAAAATATAAAATTTAAATATTTAAAAATTACACTTAAATTTTCAAAATTTAATAAAAACTCACTTAATTAACTACTCTATATTTTGTTATAACAAATGCTAAAAAACAAATAAGAAAGATATAGTTTGACGTTGTAAATTAAAATCGTAAGAACGCCGAATGTTTATTTAATCAGAGTATGATTGATGATTATATGGATACATATATACCTGAAGTTGAGACTCGAGGTAAGCGAGGATGGTTGCAGGAATAAGTCCTCGAATGCCACCGCCATCGATGCTAAGAATGGTGACAAGGTTCCCATAAGTGGGAGCTTGAATCTGAGACGGCCTTCGTTCAATCTTCAACATTTTTCTTTATGTTATACGTACACTGGGTATATATATTAACGGCAAAAAGTGATGAATAATGTTTAATTTGAAGCTAGATCGCTAAGTAATGAAGTTTCAAGGTAACTAATTTAATTGCCTTATTGCTGTGAATAGTACGTCTCTATAAATGGGGTTGTAAGAGAATGATAATATATGGAGTTATGAAGGGAAACAATGCAAGCTATATATGTACGTACCCCAAGTGTTTCATTATTTATAGCAAATATTGGGTCGTGGCTTCCATGATGATCAAATCAAGATTATGTGCCCGGTCAACATTTTATGTCCGTTCGGTTTAATTAACACCGTATTCTCTGATCTCTCTCAATATGAGTTGACCCTTTCTTCTTGGAAATTAATGATGAACTTCCTCATTGACTGGTATTCCATTGCTGATGAGCTTTGAACAATCAATTAAGAAGCCAATTCAGCCAGGACCACGCACGAACGTACGAGTTGTGGTGATATACAAGTTGATAGTTTGTTGCAATGTTTAATTTGTGTTTTTTTTTTCATTTTACATTGCTTTCCTTCTCATCATGTTTGAAAAGTTATACTGTAGAAAAATTTGAGGATTAAAAGGTAGTAAGTTTTCTTAGAATACAAAAAAGTACTCCCTCCGTCCCCCTGTATTTGTCCATATTTGACTTTTGGAATTGTTCATCTTAGCACTTTGACTCATCAAATTCTCTCAATGTGTAAGTCTAAATCTAATCATGTGTGATCTTGTTTAATTTGTCTTAACATATAGATTATTAATATATAATTTTTATAATTTTTTAATATACAAATTACAAGATAAAATGGATTAAAGAAGTGCATTGGATGGTGTGTAAAAATGAAAGTGGACAAATACAGAGGGACGGAGGGAGTATATTTTATTCTCTTTTTGGCACATAATTCCATATGATGAGCCATATATGCCTTCATTAGCAACAAGTGTTGTATAATGACTGATTATACGAATAACTCTACGAATATAGTCATTAGCAACAAGTGTTGGATAATGACAGACTATTCAATGACTATTCAAATTATTTTTAATAATGTCTTGTTCTATTTGAATTATGTAATAGGCCATTTTTTCAAAGACAAGGCATATCATTTTAAAACTTTCCATTGCCAAAAATTAGAGTAGATAGAACTCGTCCTATTTAGGAAAATTGATATGTTTACGCCCATTTGCGTAAACTACCCTATATTAACTAGAATTCAAAAGAAAATGAATACGAATACGAAGGTGTACGCATTCGATTTGACATGTCAACGAATATATTCGAATATAAATATGAAAATTTATATCCAATATACTGCTTCATAATAAATACAAAGCATAATATATAGAGTACTCCGTAGCTTGTTTTAGTTTATTTTTTTAGCGCAGTACTCCGTAGTTGATATATGATATACACATTTAGCTTCCAGGCGTCATGTAGATAAAAAAGTACTTATATAATTTCAAATGGATGTGTAAATATGACGGCAATGCACCGTATAATAATTTATTTCCAAAATAAAACACAATTCAAGGCAATTTTAAATCTTACCATTTTTATATAAGTAAAATATAAATGAAAGTGATATAATTATATAAAAATTATTATTATTATCTTACCTTATACTCCCTCCGTCCCGGAGTATTCGTCCAGTTTTGACTTTTGTAACTATTCATCTAAGCACTTTGACTCATCAAATTCTCTCAATGTGTAAGCCTAAATATAGTAATGTGTGATCTTGTTTGATTTGTCTTAACATATAGATTATTAATATATAATTTCTATAATTTTTTAATATACAAATTACAAGATAAAATGAATTAAAGAAGTGAATTGGATGGTGTGTAAAAATGAAAGTGGACAAATATACTCTGGGAGGAAGGTAGTACTAATAATAGTTACTCCGTATTGTTCTTACCGTATAATAATGCACCGTACAAAAATTAAAGCCTAATTTTTAAAATTGGAATAATTTTAAAAGGACTGTAATGTCAACTTTTTAAAATGGAATATCCATTAAAATTTATTCCCTTCTTATAATGTAATAATGCACTGTATAATAATTTACCACAATAAAACTCAATTCAAGTCTATTTTGAATCTTACCATTTTTAGACGAATATTACCATATACAAATTTTTACTAAAATGTACTAAAAATATAATATAAAATATGTAATATCTCAGTTGTTCTCAGCTGTTGATCAGGACTGGATAGATCACAAAGGTCGTGTATTTGGACAAGAAAATAGTTAGGTGCAACTTCCCATGCTTTTAAGAATAGGATATTTATATTTATTACTTGCCATTGTTATTATGTGTGTTTTTATTAAAGATCCGTTGATTTATTACCATATACGAATATATATATATATTAAAATATGTACTTCCTCCGTTCCATAAAGCCCTTCCTCTTTCGTTTTTTTCCAATTCCTTAAAACACTTCCACTTTCTATAAAAAACCACTTTTACCCCTACTTTTTCATACCCTACCTATCACATCATACTTTTTCACTAATAATCAAATTATCACATCTTACTTTTTCTCATCACATCAGGGGCAAAATTGCAAAGTCAACCAAAATTATACTTTCCTTATTTTGGCCCAAAGTCAAAATAGGATTGGTTTTAAGGAACGGAGGGAGTATTAAAAATGTAATACAAAATATATAATAATATCTCAACCGTTGATCAAGAATGGACGGATCACAAAGGTTGTGCATTTGGGCGGGAAAATGGTTGGTCGCAACTTTCTCTGCTTTTAAGAATATGATATTTTTTATATGTGTTTTTATTAAAGATCCGTTTGCTTATTACCATATACAAATATATACCAAAATATAATAAAAAATGTAATACTCCGTATAAAATATGTAATATCTCAGCCATTGATAAAAAATGGGCAGATCACAAAAGTTGTGCATTTGGGCGGGAAAATGGTTGGGGAAACTTCCCCTGCTTTTAAGAATAGGATAGAGGATTGATATGAATCATCTATTTAAAAAATATTTATCATCCTTAAAAATCAAGTAGAATTTACTATTTATAAATAGATGTACTACAATTTATTTATTTATTTTATTTTTTCTCATTTTAATCAACTAAATATAAGTTTGGAATATTAATTAATTACTACGAATTGAAGTATGTAAGAACAGTTGTATGAATATTTATACAAACATTCACCAGGTCGTTGATCCGATTTGACCGGCTGACTCTTGTCCCACTTATCGATCTCGCCACTTCGACGTCTGGTCCGATTTTTTACATATTGATTTAACATGTAATGAGTAAGAGGTCTCATATTTTATTTTAAGCAGTCAAAACTAGTATCTCAGGTTGGCATTTTTGACCGGTGGAGCCGACTTTGGGGGCTGCCGATTCTGCCTAAGGTACAAAACTGTGTTTGGAGATGTTTAAGGGGTGTCTTACCCACGACCATGGCACTTGGAACCAAAGGAGTTGTTATTGATCTTCACTGCCGTATTTGCGGTGCACCAGAGGAGTCATTAGAGCATGTTTTTCTACTTTGTCCTTTTGCTCTAACGATTTGGAGGCTCCTTGGCAGCAGGTTAGCTACAGGTTTGCATGATAATTTTATTGCTTGTTTACTGTTTGCTTTTAGCTCGATGTCGACTCCTGAATTGGCAGTGGTGGCTGCGGGCATATGGGCAATCTGGAAGGCCCGAAACCATGCTTGCTGGGAATTAAAGGTGATTAAACCTGAGATCGTTGCGGAATGGGCACGAGAGGTATGCATGGCTAGGACAGGAAGTAAGTTGCATGGTGGCACGGTGTCGACGTCGACGCACCAGGGGCCTCATCACACGAGTCGGTCAGAAATAACACGCTGCTTCGTTGATGCTGCCGTGTTTGTTCAAAACAATTCTACATCGGTGGCGGCCGCTCTTCTTGATAACGCAGGCAGGTTTATTGGGGGCTTCAACAAATTGGTTCCTTGTCCCTTGGTGCCGAGATATGTGGAAACAGTGGCTATTAAGGAGGCGCTCTCATGGCTTAAAGAGAAGAATATCCAAGAAGTCTCTATTTTTTCAGATTGTGCTCAAGTGGTTCATGCCTTGAAGAATGGCGTATCAAGAGCTCGGTCGTATCTGAGTGCGTTGGAAGATGAATGCAAAAATCTTACATATTGTTTCCGTTTTGTTAATTTTTGTCATATCCCTAGACTTTCAAATATGATTGCACACACCCTTGCTAGATTGACAATTAACGGGTGCCATGAATGGTGGTCCGACCCCCCGCATGATGTATTACAATATCTTTAATAAATGTGGTGTTTTTTTTTAAAAAAAGATAGGAACTTGATTGCTTGAGTCAATTAGGACCAGTCCAAGTCCTGTCATGTCTTTAATTTTCATTTTTAAAAAATATTTTTGTAACTAAAAAAAATCAAGAAAATATTACTTTCGGGTAGGGGGAAGGTCTACGGGCGTACACACATACTTGGTTATTGTTGTTGTTGTAATATATTTAGTTCTTATGGTTTACTTAACTACTTCGCATTACATTATTGGTTCATTTAAATTCCATTCTTTTACAAAATTTCATTATTTATTTTATTTTTTAATAATTCACTCCAAAAATCTATTTTCAAAATTTTGCTAACCTAAAATAATAATAATAAAAATACTACGCTATTACTCCGTATAAAAATCCTTATAAACAATCACCCCAATAAAGTTATAATTAACTGACTTCTAAAACATCGGAGTGCATGTACAATTGAATATTTTAGTAATTTTCAATGCATTAGTTTTTTAAAAAATGTTCAGTTTCCAAACATAAAAAACCAAACAGCTAATCACTAACTCTGATGCAAACAGTTAAACTCTAAACTCTAACTCTAACACCCTTCCCAAACAGACCCAATAAGTATCTAAGCATCAAGAATACTTTTTTCTTTAAAGGAGAAGTGCATTGCGAAAGAGCTTGAAATTACATTTGTTGAGTTTTTTTCCTGGTGAGAGTGTTGATGATTGGAGCGAGGGCGAGAAATTTCTTTTTCTCTCCTTGTGGGCCGTTCTCTGTTTCTCTATCGCTTTTCATGTTTTGACCTTTAGAAAAAACACTAACAAATGATATTTTTCCGTTCTTAGATCAGACACATAAATTTTTTTTAAGGGAGAGGGAGATATAATAATGATTTTCTTCTAGAGAGAAAGAGAGGAATAATGGACGGCAGTTGTTAGACATGTTTGTCGAGATTGGTCGGTGACATCATGCTGTCGGACGATCGACCGCCGCAAACAGAGACCGGCGATGTGCTCAGTCGCATAGAGAAACTTAACCGCGATGCTTTTGTTCCTATTCAACGGTATGTAAGCTGCCAAACTTTTGTTCCCATCTTTTATGAAGTATGTCCTACTTTAATAAATATGACACGCCCACTCTAATTAAATGGAAGGCTTGCGTGAGGGGTGAGCCAAGTTGTTAGTTGGGCTGCGCCGCACCCCCACCCCACACTTACTACTCCGTATTATATTCTCCGTAGTATATTAAGGACATGTTCTTTAGGACGGTAAAAAAAAACAAGATGTTGGAAGAAATTAAAAAAAACTGAAAGGAATTGAAAGAAACTGAAAAAACTAGAAGTAACTAGAAGAATTGGAAGACACCGGAAGGAACTGGAAAAAACTGGAAGGAACTGGCAGAAACTGGAAAAAACTAGAAGGAACTGAAAGAAACTGGAAGGAACTGGCAGAAATTGTAAAAACTTCAAAAAATTGGAAAACCTAAAAAAACTTTAAAAATATTTATTTTAAATTCTTGTTGTTATAAATTATTATTATTATTATCATCATCATCATCATCATCATCATCATTATAATCATTATCATCACGTTATCTTAGTAAGATATAAAAAAGGTATTGTTATTTTTTAAATTCAAAAAACTACTTTTGCAAAAAATAATTATAATATAAAGTTAGCATAAATATAAAAATATTAAATTTTAAAAAGTCTTTGTAGTTATATTGCACCTCAATTTATTTATGCAGTATTTATTATAAATAATATATTTGTAATTATAACTTATATATTAAAACATTTTGTTTTAAATATCATACATGTCACATAATCAAACCTATTGTTTCTTTCATGATTGACATTTTATTTTTATTGAATTCCTATTTTTAAAATAAAGACATAGAACTTTTTTGTTTACATTTTTTGTGTTTTACTCATATTTTAGTCTTTTTCTCTAAGCTCTTTTGACTTACAGTTTTTTTTTTATAAAAATTAGAAAAATGAGAAATTTTTAAGTAATAAAGGGAAAACTGAGATGTCTTATAAAAATTATATTAATAAAACATTCAATGTAACAATTTTATGCATAATTTTTTTGGTATAATTTAACATATTGATGTTTTCCTGTTTTATCATGTAGACTAATATACAAAAAAATGTCTTATTCATATTAAAAAGTTGAAGAAAAAAATAATAAGTGTAAATCGTAAAAATAGTGAGATGAGAAAAATAATTTATAAACTATAGTCATTAATATAACAATTGTAATAATAATAATAATAATCACATTAAAATATATCATTTTTAGAGTAATTGGTTGAGGAGTAGAAAGAATTTAAAGAAAATGAGAAAAGTTGGAAGAAACCGGAAGGAACTGGAAGAAACTGGAAAGAACTGGAAGAAACTAGAAGGAACTGGAAGTTAAAAGTTCAAGCCCTAGAGAACAGACTTTAAATTGTTTTTATACTCTCTCCGTCCAATAATTATATTTCAATTCCACGTTACAATGTTTGACTAAAATTATTTTCAAATCATTTTATAAGAAAAATATTATGCAACTAAAAAATAAAAATTACATATTTAAAAAACCAAATCAAAAGATCTACTCCCTCCAACCCAAATTTGATTACAAATTGGGGTCTACGAGGAGAAATATCCCACTTTTTTAAATTATTTTACTTATAAATCGGTATATCAATAAGAAATAAAAATTATAAATTAAAAAACTAAGTCAAAAGTTCTACAAAACAATAGGCGACAAAAATATTTTATTTGATCAAATACTTAGTAAAATTGCGTAAACAAACAAAAGTTATCGAGAGGAGAGAAAAAAATTGTATTCAAATTTGGGATCGAGGGAATATAAAAGTTATCGATGCACAATTGTGTGGCTCTCTCCTTTCTCTCTTTCACCATTGGTTCAAAATCTGGTGTATCTTTATCCCACTGCTACTGGTATTTGGGATAAACTTCATCAAGGGTACAATTCGTCATCTCATACATATATCTCTCAACTCAAAGACCAACTTCACAATCTGCGGAAAGAACAATCCACAATGCACACATACATGGGTGATGTTCTTGAAATTGCCACTACATTGACGCTTGCTCGTGAAAATAAACCTGAGCAAGATATTATTCTTAATGATTTACGAGGCCTCCTTCAAGAATATGCATGCCTCTATTAACTAAAATATTCCTACCAATCTTCCCCGTCTCACATTCAATAAACTCTTTTCCTCGTCACTCTGTGAAGAGCATAATTTTCAACAGGAGCAAAAATTATACCTTGCGGTTTCTTCAATGAATATGTATATTTGAAATGTTCTTTGGCCATTCTGTTTTTGGTTTTGATAATGACAAAGACCAACACCATTTGAGTATCAATGCTAAGAATTTCAAGAGATATAACGAGCCTATCACGACCATATTGGAGGGTCTCTTTGGATGTTCAAGATCAAAGACTTCGTTACCTTGGTTAGTAGTCCTATTAAGTCTTAGAATGCGTGTTAAAGAGACTGGCTTCTCTAAGTTTCATCCCTTGATAATCCTTCTCTTAAAAAATCTTTTTTGGCAAGCCTTTCGTTGCAAACGTTGCTCTTTTATTTGAAAGACCTTTAGCCTATTTGAACAAAACAGAGAACTTAAGTTGACAATTTTGGGGCTAACTTATTAGAATAAGTCATTGTTTATTTGAGTAAACTAGAAAATTCATTTCTAACTTATTTGGATAAATCTACTTATTCGAATAATTCTTGAGTTTTTTTTACCATTGTTAGATAGTTTTCTGACCCGTCTATTAAAAGAGTTTTAGACCTATTCGAATAAACTAACATTTAAAACTTTTCCACCAGCAATATTTTCTAAATATTTGATCCCTATCTACTTCCTATCTTATTGTAGCTTTCTTGGGCCGTGCTTTTGAGTAGATGAACAATAAGAAGACATACCTTATTAAATCCTTTGTTTATTCAAAGAGTTTGTACTCAATCCCCTTTTCATATCCAAGCAAGGAAAGGTTTTGATTGCTAAACACTTTCTTGCTTGATTTTATCCCCATTGCTTGAGTTTATTCAGTGAGGCTCACAGGGGCGAGCATCAGTTCAATTTGGCTGGTTTCGGGTCAAAGCTGAACTAACCGAAACTTTTTTGGGTATTAAAAAACCGATCGAAACTGAATCGGTAAATTTGAATAACAAATTGAAACCGATTAAACCGAATTGGTTTCGGTCGGTTATTAAAAACCAAATTGCACAGCACCCAAACAAAAATTATAACATGAACCTTTATGGTAATAGATAATCAGCGAATGAATAAAGAACAATTTCGTAGCAATTCGCAGATGGGAAACCAAAAAAATGTCAATAGTTGAAGTGATTTTATCAAATCGGAAAATCCATAAAAAGTCCATGCTATGATAGATGCTTCAACCATCAATCAATTCTCAGCGGAGGGATTTGTCAATAGTTGAAGTGATTTTTTGAGGTTATCAACAGCAACAGAAACAACATCAACTGCTAAATGAGAAGAGGTGGAAGGAAGGCTGGTCTCAGCAAAACTAGGATAAGATTGAAAATTCGGATATGAGTAGGGCGAGGAAACATCATGTGAAGGATGATGTTGTTAGATATAATCGAGTTTGTTCACATATTACATATAACCGAATGGCTATTGAGTCAATGTTCGGGTCAGTTAGTATAAGAGTCAGTTAGTGTGGTGTCGTTTAGTGTGTTTTACATATTTAATTAATTAAAAAAAACAGTAGGTAGTTTCTAAAAGGCAGTTATGGGTAGTTTCTATTGTTAATAGGTGTGTTGGTTTGTAATAGTTGTGTTGGTTAGTAAAAGACATGTTGGTCTGTTCTCTATTTATATTTAGAGAACACAAAGAATCCTGTACAGTCTACATCAATAAAATATTCTACTTTGCTTAGATCTAGTCCTGTCTAACAGATGTTTTGTTGTGGCAAAGTTGTCTTGCATGTAAGGTTGATGATTGTAGGGTTGGGCATTGGGCTGAGGATAACTAGGGCTGGCTGAATAGTGATTTGGAGGAGATTGTTGGAAATGATGAGATTGACAATCAACATCATATTCGATACTTGGTGGAGGAGGAGGAGGACGTTGAGGGAAATTATGAGAGCAATGTTATTAGGAAGAAGCTGCTGGAAATTACGAGAACGATAATCCTAAGTTGAATACGAATGAGGCAATGAGGGATCGTAGAATGTGAATTACCATAGGCTTGATAGAGGAATCACTACACCTAAACTTAAGATCCTGCAAAAATCATAAAGATAATTATTTTGCAGGTCATGTCAAGGAGCACAGCAGGCTGTAGACATTAATCATACATACATATTCATTAGTGGTGGGAGTAGTTGTCTTGTCTGATGAATCTTTCTCACCACTGGAGTTCCTGGAACGGGCTTCCTTCCTTCTTTCAAAGCTTTGGTTATGTCTGCAACCTTCCATGCTGCATACTTCAATTTTTGCCCTTGCTCATTATTCAAATACTTATTCCATTATAAGAACTGAAATGTAGAGTCCTTTAAGAACATTATTAATATTGTACTCTCAAAACTTGCAACTACTGCTCTGAGTTTAGATTATGTTTGTAACATGCATTTTTTTCTTTCACCAACACCAAACTGTCTAAGCTTCATAACATTATCAGGAAATTTATTACCTGCAAACAATTGAGCAAAGCTAGGCTTTTTGGGCTCTTCTTGAACCCCATCTGATTAGGGCATTTCATCGAGCACCTTGGGTGCAGACTGTGCTTCGTCATCCACACAAGGCATATTGGGTTTCTCAACCAAAAGAGACGAGGTGGAACTTGAAGAGGAGGAACTTGAAGAAGAGTGAACAGGCTCATCCATCCTCTTAGCATCTTTCTTCAAAGTCGGAATAATGTCAGACCTCTGCTTGTTCTTCGCAACTTCCTCCGAAACATCTGATTTCCTAAGCTCCACTACTCTTCATATCTGAATGACCCTGGGAAACCATCTTGTGGGGAAGAAGGGGTTTAACCATTGCAAACAATTGGCATATACACGAAGAAGACGGTAGATGAACAAAAACTCGAAAAAGATAATCTCTTGATTAAACCCAAAAGAGGATGAAATTGGTAGATTCAACTGGTAGGTATGAGCTTAAGAAAGAAACGATGAAGGTAAACAAGATCGATTGGGGGAATAATCCTAACAACTCAGAATTAGTTTTCTCTTATCACGCCTCAAAATATATACTAAAATTATTATTAAATAATTAATCAATTAATCAAATTTGTTTTGATTAAAATAAATTATTATTAGTTTCTAAAGTGATATTTTTGTATATCCAAAATGCAATCTGAATAAATTTCATAGAGATAAATCCAGCATATTGACTATTTGTGTGATCTTGATTGTGAACTAGAGTACAGACCCAAATTAAGAATACATAAAAAATTTGTTTACGATGTGAAATTTGAAATGATTTATTAAAATAAATCATGAGAATAAATAATATTCCCTCCGTCCCTCTGTATTTGTCCACATTAAACTTTTGGAACTGTTCATCTAAGCACTTTGACTCATCAAATTCTCTCAATGTGCAAGCCTAAATATAGTCATGTATTATCTTGTTTGATTTGTCTTAACATATTGATTATTAATATATACGGAGTAATTTTTATAATTTTTTAGTATATAAATTACAAAATAAAATGGATTAAAGAAGTGCATTAGATGGTGTGTAAAAATGAAAGTGGACAAATACAGGGGGACGGAGGGAGTATGAATTAAATGTGAGAATCTTTTTGAATAAAGGTCAACTAAATCAATTTTGACTTTGTCAAAGTCAAATCCCCAAAAAATATGATGTCGGAAAAAGTATTACAAATAAATATAAAAATTATATCATAGAGTTTAACTGTCCAATCACAACGGTACAAACAGATTTCAATTCGGAGAAAGTTGAACCAAAAAGTGTACTCCGATTTGGACCAAAATTAGTTCCAATCTGGAAAGAGTCATGAGAATCTTCAATTTGACGAGAACTTTTATTTATTTACGTTTTTTAATGGCCTATAGCCCTATATGATAAAATAAAATATTATACTCCCTCCGTCCCATTTTAAATTGCCCGTTTTGACTTTTGGGCATATTTAAGAAAAAGAAAAAAGAGAATTGATTTTTCGAAATTGTCATTATTTTTTAGAAAGGTTGACAATAAATAAGAAGATAAAATGGTGAAGAGTGACTAATTTTAGGGGTAGTTTATGTATTTTACTCTTAAAAGTTTACGAAAACAAGTAACAGACAACTTATTTTGGGACGAAGAAAAAAGGCAAACAGACAATTTAAAATGAGAGAGAGAGAGTAATATTTTAGAAATTTTGCTTTGAAGTGTATACTTGTTAAATATAGGGAGAAAGACCAAAGTAAGCCTAAACATTGAAAATATACCAAAATAGTACTTCTTTGTTTTTATTCCCGAAATAGAACTTAAAATAGATTTATATTACCAAATATGGTCATGTACGTTACCAAAAAGTATATTAATGTGCACATATACAAAACCACATTACCACAGTGCGAAGTCTTATTTCAGAGAAAAAACATAAAAGTCTTATTTTAGTACTTTTCTTTATTTAGTATTTTTCTCTATGTTTTAGTCTTATTTATGGTGATTTCTATTGAATATAGGAGTATTTAGAAATTCGGCTTTGAAGGAGAGATAATGAAATAGAGGTGGAAAGTTGGAAACATACGGAGTAATATTTTGGAATAACATTTTATTTTGAAATAAATTTTAAAAAAACCCCTTCGTTTTAAGGTATAATTTAGAATTTACTCTTATAATTACACTAATCATCATGCATACACGCTTGACTTGTGGACCAGAAATGCTAAAATTTAATAACGATCCAAATACAATAAAGCTTGGTGTATAACAGCTACTCCCTCCGTCCTAATTTAAATCGTTTGTTTTGACTTTTGGACATATTTAAGAAAAATAAAAAATAAAGTTATTTTTTCAAAATTGTCATTGCATTTTAGAAGGGGTGATAATGAATGAAAAGATAAGGTGAAAAAGTATGACTTATTTTAGGTGTAGTTTAGGTATTTTATTTTTAACAGTTTAAGAAAATAACTAACAGATAACTTATTTTGGGACGGAGAAAAAAGACAAACATGCAATTTAAAATGGTACAGAGGGATACTATTCAAGAGTGGGTAAACGGCCGGTAAACCTTCATGTTAGTTGACCTCTAAGCGCGTAGGCAGCTCGTTGAACAGCCCTTGCAACCCTCCATATCTCATGCCTAATTTCACCATCCCTTTCTTCTACCTTATTCATCCCCCCACACATGGCATTCACAATTCCAGGAAAGAAATCCAGCTTCCCTTTGTTGCTCTTACACGACGGACCATAAACCTGCACCATTTCACCTCGCTGAACTGTCCATGAAAAATACAGAGATGAATGTGAACTTTGTCAGATTGAATATGTAATTGGGTGGGACAAGCCAAATGCTTACAAGATGCTTGAACCATTGGTTTCCTTGTAGCCCTTCTCCGTCTAAGAAACCCCTCTCTGCAAATATAAGCCGATCGTTTAACATCTTCTTCACAATAAAATGCTTGTCCACCACGGCTTCACCCTCCATCAGTTTCTGCATCTCAGAATTCATTGCATGAGAGCAAAGTTGTGATTGGATAAACACCGTTGACTAAGGGGGAAAAAAAATTACACAAGAGCACGATGAAGAAATTTATTTTTCTAGAACCTTCACTTCTTTCTGAATTTCCGTAGCGGCGCGTACAAGTTCTTGTATGGCGTCCGTTAATGGATGCAGCGAGAAGCTTCCTCCCAATGTATCATTCAAGATATGTGAATATCCCTACAAGTGCACATAGCGATATTAAGAACCATTATTTTGATAGTTGAATGAGGTTACAAATGAGATCTTAGTTTGAACAACAAATATTAATGGGAACACCGCCAGTTGATCTATATACCGAAAAAGACAAAGAAGTTCGTTCGTACTAGCAGCTCTTTTGCATAAGAGAGGTAGTTGAAAGGTAGAATCGCATCATTGGCGAGGCGAAGTCCAAGAAGTCCCCATATTCCTGTCACTGAGTACAGAAATGAATTTAGGTAGTGTTTGGGAACTAGCATTTCCAAAACATGGAACTCGAGCCAAATCCAGATTTGAAATCCAAGTTTAGGCCAGGGAAAATATATTACCTGCCACGTGCCGTTGAAACAATGGGTCTCCAAAGTTGACCATCCAATTATAAGAGTCGAAAGCCGTGTGGTATGCTGGGAAACCTACAAGGAGTGGATGAAATCACATTTTGAAATCCAAACAGCACCCAGCACATTTCACAAACACTAACTAGCACTTCATGTGTACCTACCTTCACCATAGTAGATATCGATGGAAGGAATCCCTGCATGTTGCAAAAATGGAACAAAATCTGAATCCACTCGGCCAAGTCTCTGGATCTGCCATAACGCAGCTATGCATTTACCATTGAAACTTAACACTATGTTTGGTTTGTGGAATTCGGGAGGAAAAGACTTTTCCACTCTAACCATACAAGAAAACTTGTTTTCCATGTCATTTTCTTTTACTTTTCCTTCCGAATTCCTTGAACCAAGCATAGTGTAAAGGAAGAAAAAGACGGCAAGGGAGAAAACTTACATCCATAACTTGGTTCGTAACTGTCAATTTCTCATATATTGTCATCTCATCAGAATCGGGATCTCTAACCTTCTTAGCAACTTCAAGAAGAAGATCATCAAGTTGAGGAGTTGCAGCGGCATAAAATCCAGGTCCTTGAACTGCACAATCCACATTTAGGTAGGCCACTGATTTAGAGGCCAGATTGAGAATGTTCTCTTCAACCCATTCAGTGGAGCCAATCTGAAGCCACCACAAGAATGACACATCACACAATTTGTTTTGTTGTTTCGAAAGCCCAAGGACACACGCTATATATTTAAACACTTTCTATTAAGAATTCACATTATTGCTCCGAGAATCGATATATGTTTACTTCTTTGCATTTTTTATATGTATATACCCGGTAATAAAACATTGAACATATTATATACCATCCCAAACTCTTCAGCATCCCAACTGCAAAGTAAGATGGTGCGGCGAGGGGTCCATCCCAACTGCATGAGAAGAGCATAGCGGCGGGCGATTTCGAGTAGAGCTGCAGTGCCGCTGCTGGGGTCCACTGCCCCGTAAGTCCATGCATCTCTGTGATTCCCAAGAAGCACAAGCCGGTCGGGCTCTTCTGACCCTCTTATCACACCAAAGACATTATGTATTGTTCCCATTCTTTTCTCCCCCTACAAACCACAAAACAAAATGTTCATCACCTCAAACTCTAAACTTGAACATACCATATATATATATATATATATATATATATATATATATATATATATATATATCTCCAACACTATGATTTGGTGAGTTATTCTTTCTTTGTACTATATATTACCAAGTTAGCAAGTGCCATTATTAATCTCAAGTAGATTGGAGTCTGGGAATAGTAATAATTCCCTTTTTAATTCATCATTCTAGTTAATTACGGAGTACTAAACAAGGAAAAATAAACAAATGAGATAATAAACTAAAGGGGGTGTATTCAATCAGGATTCTGATGGATTTTTTTGGATTCTTAAAATCCATAGGTATTCAATTTAGATTTTAAAAAGTCATTTAAAATCTAGATGTATTCAATTCAGATTTTAAAAAATCTTTTCAAATATGATGGTATTCAAAAATTGATAGATTGTGTAGGATTTTTAATAATGTGGATTTTGATGGATTTTCATGCCTTAGGTATAAATACAAATCCAATTCCAAATCCAATCAAAAGGCCTGAGATTTTGCTACTCTTTCTTCGCACTATCTCTTCCGCAGCCTTCCGTTCTTCTGCACCAAGCCTTCTGCTCTTCCACACCAGCGTTCATCTTCTCCGACTTCATTCAACGCACCAGGCCATCCAATCTCTTCCACACCCTCCCTCCCTTTCTCCATCTCTATTATCATCTTCACCTTCTAGTCTCCTTTTAACCTTCAACCACTCTCACCAACCCCCCATCAAACCTGCAAAAGAAGTCCACCCAAAGAGCATCTTCTTTCCATGGTACGAGATTTGCTATATATTAGGACCCAAAGATTTGGTATACATAGGTTTGATTGTATTAGACTTTTCATTGTACCTGACGGAAGATTTCTTATGGATGGACAATTTTTTTTCTCAGATCTGGTTCTTTAATTTCTTCCGTCTCTTTTTTATTTTTTTCTTTTTAAACCAATTTGGACTGAGAACAATCCATTTGAATCTTGATAAATCTTTACAATGAAATAGATTGAAATCTATTGAAATCTACATAGAAAGAAGACAATCCATAAATCTTACATAATCCATGGATTATAAAAAATCTAACAAAATCTTTTAAAATCTAAGTTGAATACACCCCCTAAGGGTGTGTTTGGTTAGAGAAGGGGATGTTCCCCATTACTGGTCCCATGTCCTCGCACTCCTCCAGAGGAGAGAAAATTTATGTTTCCAAATGTTTAGAATAAAACGAGAGATGGGCATTTTTCAACCCAAGCCCTCCTCCTCCCCCACCATCCAAACACGCCCTTACCATGGGCACATAGCAATACCATTCTTAGATAGGAGCCTTAAACTTTCTATTAATAACAAAATCCACTTTGCAATCCATACAAAAAAAAAAACTCCATACGTCAATTTAGCAAATACAAAATCAATCCCCCCAGAAAAGTACTCCCAGATTGAATTCCTTTTTTCTTACCTGGTACGAGAAATTCAACATTGTTGGGCCGGGCCCAACCCTCGAAAAATCGATGCCGCCGCTGTGGCCAATACTACTGATATTCTGATCAGTATGCTTCTTCTTCCATAGAGAAGGCAACTCGGAACCCATCAACGACCTCAGTATCATCTTTGCGGCATCTACAGATATGGGCATCGATGGCACTTTCGGGAATTTGGCGGATACTCGCGGGTCATCTAATCGGAGTCTCTCGCCCGGCCCAACTCCGGCCCATCCCGGGCTCAGTGGATCCCCCACGCTCCCCGATACCGTCCCTCTCTCTACCCCTTCCCTCAACTCACCCTCGGTATACATGAGCACCGCCGCAACTCCATGCACCGCCGCCCTCCCGACCACCTCGTTCCTAGACAGCCCGCCGCCTCTCCGTACAATCCCGACGCAGCCCTCCACCTCCACCCCCTGCTCCGCCAGTACACGGTAGTCCTCCTCCCGACCGTAGTTCAAAAAAACAGCGCTTCCGTGAGCCGAGCCGGAGGGAGAGTAAGCGTGGTAAGGAATAACCACCCTTTTTTTCTGGATCCCGGGCTCGGATAGAGGGACGGGAACGGCGGAGCCGTTGCTGAAATGCGCCGTCAGCGAGGCCGACAGGGGGTAAGACAACAGGACGGTGTAGTTGGTGAGGTGGGTGGGGATATGAAGGGACTCGAACTGGGACTTGACGTAATACGCCGCCCGGAGAGAGTCCGGCGTGCCGGCGAGGTGCGGTTGCAAGGTGAGGTGACGGAGGTGGGAGGCGATGGTGTCGTTAGAAGCAGAGGAGAGAAAGGCATCTTCGTAGTCTGGATTCGATTCGGCGGCGGAGGGGATCCGTTGCCGGCGGCTGAGGGTGCGGAAAAAGCCTACCGTGAAGAGAAGGAAGACTATGGAAGCGTAAACATATTTTGATGGAAATGGCATTTGGTTCCCGATGGAGATAACTGTGGCGGCAGATGGCGGTGTTGAATGAATGGTCGGATAGATAACACTTTTTAGAGCAATTGTGAGTGATGAGTGAATAAGCAATGTCGCCGAAAGAAGTCACTCATGTAGTCAAGTCTAATAAATGAAGAATTATTGTATATGCAGGATGATGTGATTTGGGAGTGATCAACTAATAATGGTGGATGTTGGATATTTTAAAGAGAAATTTACCTAAATAGGACCAAAACATAATGACTTTCCCAATATAGAACCATATGTTTTTATTTTCCAATGTAGGACCTTTGGTCATTATGAAATAGTCATTATTCAAGTAAATGTCCATCATTACTGGACATTATTCCTCCCACTAGGTCATTATTAAGTCCTAGTTAGGGAATAAAAAAATTTAAGTCCTGTATTAGGAAAGTCATTATGTTTTAGTCCTATTTAGTGCAAATTTCACTATTTTAAAAGTAGGAGTATGTTACATGTATCTCAAAATTTGTACTTTATTTGTATAGAAATCATCCTAAATAGGATTAAAACATAGAGAAAAATACCAAAATAGAACTTTTATGTTTTTTTCCTGGAATAGGACTTTGCACTGTGGTAACGTGACTTTGCATTGTGGTAATGTGGTAGTGTACATGTGCAGATTACTATACTTTTTTGGTAATGTATATGACCATGTTTGGTTATGTAAGTCCTATTTCAGGAATAAAAACATGGAAGTCCTATTTTGGTATGTTTTCAATGTTTTAGTCCTATTTTAGTCTTTCTCCCTTATTTGTATACCAAAGTTATGTACCAATATTTTGATAGTTTACACTGACACAAAGTGTTGATGCATTAACAAATATTTACACTAACACAAAGTGTTGGTGCGTTAAACAAAATTAATATTACACCAACATTTTTACCAACACAAAATGTTAGTGCATGTCTACGGTGTACCAAATGAGGTACAAATTCTTGGGGTACAAATAGCTTTATCCTTAAAGTATATCCCAAATGTATGTCACCCCTCCATTATTACTTATTTTTATTTTTGTTATATTTTACATGCCAAAATATGTAGTAATAGATGAGGTGATGTACATTTCGGATACACTTTTGGTATACCCCACACTTTTTCTAATGAACACATTCTAATTTTTCTCTCAATCCAAAATTAACCAATCAATAAAGAATATCAACCATACTACAATTATACTAAAAAGTATACTTTAAATTTACACCAAATATAAATTATCTAACATTTTGATGATCTACACTAACACAAAATTCTAGTACAAAAAATATTGCACTCACATTTTGTGTCCGTGTGAACTATCACCCTAGTACTAATTGAAGATGCACACTTGTGGTGTATAATTTGGGTACAAATTTTGGGGTAAAAATAGCTTAATCTATATAATATTGCAAAAGAATATCTTATGAGATAAAAAGAATATTATTTTATCAAATGATCAAGAACAAAATATACATGAAAACATAAACTATCGAAAGGCCTTGATTATAAAGAGATAAATCATTTTGCGGCGGAGATAGTAAATTAGAAAAAGTAGAACAACAAAAATACATGATAAATTTCAAGAATGGTATCTAAAATTTTACAAAAACTTTTGATGGATATCGGAGCTGGTGGCCAACAAGAACAACCCAATAAAAGTTGGGCTGACCCAATAGCTATTAGAATCCGATTGTAAACTTGGAGGCAAGGCCCAAGAGTTTGCTAGGAAGACATCCGACCCAATACCCAAACTAAGGTAATTCCCCGAATCGTGGGATTGGTGGAAATCGATAACTAATCCCCCCCCATGATTGACGCACGATCGGTAAAATGGCCGATAATGTAGCGCACGATAAGCTATAAATAGGAGGCTTACCCTCCATTGTAAAGGGGGAAAAAGGTGACTAATACAAGAGAATTACAAGACTAAGTGTTATCGATATTGTTTATTTTGTTCTTCGCACGCCAAAGTTGTTGCGCTAAATCCCATCATTGGTGCTTTCATTAAGAGATTACTGTGAGACAAGATTGTGAGAGTATGGATGGATGATGAAAGAGGAACTCTAGGCGTACTTTAAATTCCCAACAGTCTTGTGCTGCGATGAGGGTCCCCAAGGAACACAACGCTGCTCAGTCTAATGGGATTGAGATACAAACCTGTCGCAATGTCTCTTGGTGGTCTTCACAAGTCCTGACCCAATTCCGCCAAGTGATCGAACATGTGGCGATACTCTGGCAAGCTCAAAGTCCCCATCTCAAGGTGCATGAACTCCTCCCGTTTCTCTTCAATGAAAGACTTGGCAATGTATTCGGCCTTGAACACTCAATCGAAATATGCCCATGTCAACTGGGCAAGATGGCCCTCGTTCTGAGTGTTGCGTTTCCACCACTCGTACGCGTGACTCTGCAATAACATTACCGCCAGATCAGCCCATTCTCTATCCAGGACCTTCAGATTCTCAAACACGCGCCTCACGTGCTCGAGCCATCAGAATGCAACCTGGGGGTCAGCAATATCTTCACTGAGAAACTCCTTAGCTCCGCTCTTCTTCAGCTTCTCGATAGTGAACCTAGACTCAGGTTGCTGAGCCCGCACTATGGCATTCTGGTTCATGAGGAGCACCTGCTACAGGAGCTGCATCATCAACACAGGGTCCATCGGAGGAATACCAGTAGGCCCACCATTCGCCCCCCCCTGCGGTGGAGCGTTCTGATTCGCATTCTGATGCAGGGACACGCCCGCTTCATCAGAATGATCGTCATCATAGTTCACAACAGGGTCCATTCTACATTTTTCTTATAGCAATTAAGCAAAGATTTCACAAAAATCATTGCATTAAAAATTTAGAGTTACCTCCTAGATTAGTGATGTCGCGAAACTGGGTATGACCCCTTTTTTTCTTTTGAAGATACCCCTTTAATTATACTCCCTACGTCCCAAATTATAATGCCTGTTTACTATTCACAGGGCCAAACTTCATTCACTTTCTTTCTCTATTTTCGTTAGCAAATTGATAAAATAAAATATTGTTGTCACTACTAGTTTTGTAGATCTTTCGATGTAGTATTTTGATATGTAATTTTTATTTTTTAATTCTATACCACTTGTCATATAAAATGATTTGAAAATAAATTCAGTCAAATATCGTAGATCGAAACAGGCATTATAAAATGGGACGGAGGGAGTATTATTTTTCTGAAGATATAAATTTAATTTTTTTTTTCTTTTTTTTGAAAAAAACCTTTAACTATACTTTTTTTTAATCATACATATAATTATTTTGGCCAAAATCATTTTTAAAACCAAATGCTCCGATATGAAAATGTAACACCCAACTTGCGTAACCCAAATCAAGGAGTTAACGAATCAGGTTGCTACTAAAATTGTATTCACGACACGAAAATTAGGCAAATTATTCAAAAACATCCAAATAGCAAATTAAATACGAAACGTTCAAAGTAAAGTACATCATGTGCGGAAACCTTAAAAAATAATGTTCTACAATCAATGCTTAAACCAACAATTAATAAACGCATTAATTTAAATGTTCATAAATGGAAATGATGACGTCATCCACTGCGTCACGTATCAACGTCCTCCAGGTTAGCCCTCTTGATCCAAATCCGTACCTGCGTGCAGTCAAAGAAAACAAGACTACAATCAACATTTATTTTCAGACACAAGGATCCAAAAGATTGGAATCAAAAGAAGATGAGTGGTTGGGGTTGTTATTCCGCACGAATCCACCGGTCAGAAATAGGGAAGGGCATTTTGGACTCATTCACTCCATAGTCAACCATAAATAAAAATGACTAAAAGTCAAAACGTAAACTTCTTTTCCGGACGGAGGGAGTATTTGTTTACGCGATTTCATTAAGTATTTTGATAAAATAAAATATTCTTTTCCCCTCTTGTTTTGTAGAACTTTTGTCCCTAACTCTTTTGAACATTTCCCCGTCTGTTTTCCTTACTCCTCCGTTCCTTTTCCTCGCCGTCAACCAGCAGCCGTAGCATTGCCAGGAGCTCCGCCGGGTCACCGCCATCGCTGAACGTCACCTCCGTCCTCCCTTCTTCCGTTGCGCAGGCCGCACCAAAAAAATCAACATTTATTTTTAGACACAAAAAAACGCAAGAAATTCAAAAAAAAATGAATAAATAAAAATAAAAAAATGGGTGGTAAAGAAAGGGGTGGTGTACATTTGGGGTACACCTTTGGTGTACACCTAGCATTGCTCATTGAAAAATGTACATTCAAGGGGGGTGTTAAGAAAAATATGAATTGTTAATTTATTAATTAATTAAGTCATGCTCCATCATAGTTGCAAGAATAAATTATCTATCTCACCATCAAGTTGCTATTTATATAATATGTATACTTTTTGTAATAGTATTACCACTAAGCCTCTCTATTATAAATAGGAGGCTTAGAATTCCTACAAAATACCATTAAGGACATGAAGAAGAGTGAAGAATTAATAGGGAGAAGAAATCAAAAATATATGATATATTCTCATAATCTTTGAATAATTTTTCTCTCATTTTATAACAGGAAAAGATTAAACTAAAAATAAGTCCGATAATTATGCCATGCGGAAAATTTATAACGAACGGCATGAAAGGGAATAACGAATGAACGGCTAACGCTGCTATGCTCTGGCTTTTCTTTTTTGGCCTTTTTCGATCGCAAACTATTTACGAAAATGTTACGGAGTAATGGTTAGTAATCAAATCTGTCGCAGTAAGTTCTCATTTGAAGTTGTTAAAGGAAAGAGAATATTCGTATATATTTTGGTATATATTATTTTTGGTAGCTTCCTTGTATATGGTTGATTTCGTTTCCTTTTGTGTTTAGGTTTCTCAACCTGTGAGAGCCTATATATACATGTCTACTTTGTAAATTGAAGACGAGAAATCTAGAGAGAATTTCCTCCAAATTCATTATTCTTTCATGGTATCAGAGCCAAAACCCTAGAGTTTTTCAGCGACTACTGTTCACGATAGCCCGGCATGGCGTCCATCGATCGTTGCTCAGTTTCAGTCGTTTGTTGTTGTTGCCGGACAACGGAACGGTCGACTGTTGCTCTTGAACGGTCGAGCACGTCGACCGTCCCGTCGGCAGATTATGTGCTAGATGCTGCTGTTGATTCTTCCGCCACCGCCGTACGCCACTCTGTTACCGCCATGGCCGATGAACAACCAAGGAAGATGTTTTTCTCTCTATCATTGTCTGTTTCTAGTATGAAGCTGTCAGGTATTCCTGTATCGCCACGTTGGATTATAGATACTGGGGCATCAAATCATATGACTGGTGATATTTCGTTATTGCATGATGTGGTGGGAATATCACCATGTGAGATTGGTTTGCCCAATGGGAAAAGAATTGTTTCTGTACAATCTGGGAAGATTAAATTAACAGAAACATTAATTCTGCATGATGTTCTATATGTTCCCACTTTGAGTTGCCATTTAATCTCTGTGTCAAAATTAACGAGGGATTCGAATTGTGAGGCACGTTTTGCCAACGATAAGTGTATACTACAGGATCTGTGTTTGAAAACAGAAATTGGTATGGGTGAGCAGGAAGGAGGACTTTATTACTTCAAGGAGCCTGAAAAGAAGATGGTGTGCAGTGCGAAGAAGGAGAGTAAGTTTGATCTTTGGCACAAATGACTTGGACATCCTTCCTCCCATGTTTTGTCTCTTGTTCCTGAAGTTGGAACAAGTAAGAGTAGTCACAGTTGTTGTGACATTTGTTTGCGTGCTAAACAGACTCGTGAGAGTTTTCCTATAAGTTTTTATCAATCTGTTGATAAATTTGATATGATACACTGTGATTTATGGGGACCATATAGGACTCCAAGTTTTGATGGTTCTACAATGTTCTTGACCATTGTGGATGATTTTTCAAGAGGTGTTTGGGTACATTTGCTTGATTCCAAACGCAAAGTTGGCGCTGTTTTTAAACAATTCTGTGCTATGGTAGAACGACAATTTGGGAAGAAAATAAAGTGTGTTCGCAGTGATAATGGCACAGAATTTGAATGTCTAAACGAATATTTCCAGGAGCAAGGAATTATTCATGAGACGTCTTGTGTGTCTACTCCACAACAGAATGGGAGAGTAGAACACAAGCACCGACACATTTTGAATGTGGGTCGGGCTTTGAGATTTCAGGCTGGTCTTCCGATTGAGTTCTGGGGAGAATGTATACAGACCGCCGCACATCTGATTAATCGCACACCTTCGTCTTTGCTAGGGGGGGTCACACCATACGAGAAGATCTATGAAAAGCCACCCTCTTTGGCTCATATTCGTGTTTTTGGATGCAGATGTTATGCTCATAACTTGAAAAGGAATGGCGATAAATTTGCACCAAGAAGCATTCCTGGAATATTTGTTGGATATCCACAATGGAAGAAGGGATGGCGTATTTACTACCCGGACACTGGTGAAATCAAAGTGTCCCGGGATGTTGTGTTTTGTGAAGATATTTTCCCTTTCTTGACTCCTACAGGTGCATCTCTTGATACAGGAACTACAAATGAGGTTAGCTCTTATGATGAAGATGAAGAACTGCGGACGGAAGAACGGATGGACCGTTCCAGGAGGGACGGTCGACCGGAGAAAAGCGGCAGAGCAGATCAACTACAGACGGTCGACCTGATGGACCGTTCCGATGTCCACGGTCGACCGTCCGAGAGGCAGAATGACAGATTCCTGAGAGATGACCGAACGGTCGACCTGGTGGACCGTCCTGATATCCACGGCCGACCGTCCGAGAGGCAGAATGACGGTTCTTTGGGAGATGATCAAACGGTCGACCGTGATGAGGAAGACGGTCGACCGTCTCCGAGGCAAAAAGTTAGCGATCCGGAACAGCTTCAGACGGTCGACCCCGTGGACCGTTCCACGGACGGGGGTCGACCGTCCCCTTCCCAGCCAGCGGTGGAGAACTTGGGACGTGGTCAGTGTGAGAAACGTCCAAATGTACGCCTTGCCGATTATGTTACCCATGTGGTTGGACCATATGTCGGGGAGAAATGCAAATATCCTCTCTCGTCGTATGTCACATATGAGAAGTTTTCTCAGAAACATAAATGTTTTCTCACAGCTCTTGATGCAGAAGTGGAGCCCAAGGGTTACAAGCAAGCATTCTAGGATGAGCGATGGAGGAAGGCTATGCGAGAAGAAATTGATGCCCTAGAAGCAAATGGCACTTGGACTCTTGTCCGTCCCCCTCATCATAAAAAGCCCCTTGGATGCAAATGGGTGTATAAGATCAAACGCAAGTCTGATGGCAGTGTGGAGAGATATAAGGTCAGGCTTGTGGTCTTTGGTAATCATCAGGTTGAAGGGCTTGACTACAAAGAAACATTTGCTCCTGTAGTCAAGTTGACCACGGTACGGACTCTTTTAGCTGTTGCAGCAGTCAAGGGATGGGAGCTGCATCAGATGGACGTCCATAATGCTGCTTTCTTACATGGCGATCTACAGGATGAGGTATACATGAGATTGCCACCAGGATTCTCAAGTTCTTCTAATATGGTGTGCAAACTCAAGAAATCACTTTATGGTTTAAAACAAGCTCCTAGATGTTGGTTTGCAAAGTTGTCTGGAGCTTTGAAGCGCTATGGATTTGTCCAGTCTATCTCTGATTACTCCTTGTTTTCGTTTGTTGGGAGGAAAGGAGTAATTCATGTTTTGGTTTATGTTGATGATTTGATTATTGTCGGAGACAACGCAGAAATGATAAGCAAGTTCAAGGCTTATTTAGCAAATTGTTTTCATATGAAGGATTTGGGGGTTTTGAAGTTCTTTCTTGGCATCGAGGTAGCACGTAGTACATCTGGGATTTGTCTCTGCCAACGAAAGTACGCCTTGGACATTATTACTGAAGCAGGTTTATTGGGTGCCAGGCCGTTGGGTGCACCGATGGAGCCAAATCACCATTTGGCTCGTTCTCAGGCTCCAGTTCTTGCAGATCCAGAACCGTATCGACGGTTGGTAGGACGATTGGTCTATCTCTCGGTTACACGACCCGAACTTTCCTACGCAGTCCACACTTTAGCACAATTTTTGAAGGAACCAAGGGAGGATCAGTGGTCTGCGGCTCTTGGAGTTGTTCGTTATCTGAAGGGATGTCCTGGACAGGGAATTTTCCTCTCTGCAGACAGTAGTCTTCAACTCACAGGATGGTGTTATTCGGACTGGGCAGCATGTCCTTTGACGAGGCGGTCATTGACAGGGTGGTTTGTGCAGCTTGGAGACTCACCTGTCTCATGGAAAACAAAGAAGCAGTCGACGATGGCTCGCTCGTCTGCTGAAGCAGAGTATAGAGCTTTGGCTGTCCTTACTTGTGAGTTGAAGTGGTTGAAGAATATATTGCGGTGTTTAGGGGTTGAGCATAAGAACCCCATGACGGTCTGGTGTGACAGCACAGCACAGCGACACTTCACATTGCTGCTAATCCGGTTTTTCACGAACGCACGAAGCACATTGAGATTGACTGTCACTTCGTTCGTGATGAGCTCTTGCGAGGAGAGATTCGTACACTTCATGTGCCTACTACGCATCAGCTTGCAGACATTCATACGAAGGCACTCGGAAAATCACGTTTGGAGTTTCTTCTTCCCAAGTTGGGCATTTCGTTATTACATGCTCCAACTTGAGGGGGGGTGTTAAAGGAAAGAGAATATTCGTATATATTTTGGTATATATTATTTTTGGTAGCTTCCTTGTATAGGGTTGATTTCGTTTCCTTGTGTTTAGGTTTCTCAACCTGTGAGAGCCTATATATACATGTCTACTTTGTAAATTGAAGACGAGAAATCTAGAGAGAATTTCTTCCCAATTCATTATTCTTTCAGAAGTAAGAATAACTAACAGCTTAGGGGCATTTTGAAACTGAATAATACAAGGACATGGTTTTATGATGAATCATGACAATATACATAAAGCGATGTGAGAATTATTATGACCACAAAATTCCATCCAACCGAATGACCCAACAGTTCCATGCCTTCTCCCACAAAATCTTCTATAAGTTTTGGGTATCAATCATATCATCAATAAATAAATCACAGTTTCGTTTCATATATCAGAAGTGTAAACAGTAAGCCAGATTTGTGAACTAAACACCTTGAGTTCTTGCAGCCTCTAGCATTTCAACTATCAGGGTCTTAACATCCCTGCAAGAGGATAGGTTTAGCAAAGAACTTAAAGCAAGGCAAACACTTCATGATTCAAATTAATGATGTACTAATAGATGACTTATATACACGAATAATGATCAGGTGTGAACAATTATCCCACACAAAATGGCCACATCAAGTCGTTAAAAAGAAGTTTACGGTACATCTTCCATGATGCAACTGCAAAGATAAAAAGGATATCAAAATAGAAATTGGACGTGTCATCTTACTTTCTATCCATTGCTGGTCTAGGGAAAGGAACTCGAAGCTTGAAAGTACTCCCTTGGTATACAGCCTGAAAAAGGAAAGAGAGAGAAAGATAGAGGCAAGAGACTCTAGGCTTCTGACTGTGAAGGAAAAAACAGAACCATTTAATACAAACCGTAAACGTGTAAGGTTGTGATCCATGCAACTGTACTCAGTACCCTAAGTAGAAAATTTTTCCAACGTAAACATTTTCCTAAACATAATTTGCATTTTTGTATAAAATGACTTGCTCTTCGAAATGAAGTCATCCTCCTGAACTAGTTTAATTTGTTTTATGCAATGGTGGATTAAAAATCAGGGAATAGTACCCATACTCCTTGACCTGTGGTCATAAAAGTATAAAACCTTGTATTTTAAAAACCTAATTATTTACCCCTTGAGCATTAACTATGCTAATAATTACCTCCTTCCGTAACTAACTATTCAACTCAATTGACTGTTAAATGCAAGTGGAAATGACTAAAGTGTCCTACCCTGACTCCCCTTGATTCCTTGTGGTAATGCAGGGTAGCAAGCGGTGACACGGGGCAGAATCAGACAGATTTAGATTACAAAGAACTCTCATCAGTTCAAGGAATAGAAGAACATGGATTTGATGGCTCTTCCAACACATCAGGAAGTTTCTATGCTGAAAAACATACAACTCCGGTGCACAAGAAATTTAAGCCTGAAGAGTGAAATCTTTAAGGAGACTGAAATAAACACCTCCATTGTCGACCCACAAATCCAAGACAAAGAAATCCTTTTGAAAGTCAAGAAGTAGCTCATGATAGTAGCGACTCAATTTATAGATGGGATACAGACTGCTATATAGGCAATGACTTAGGAACGATATTGCTTGTCAAATTGAAGCAGGATTAGAATCGGAAGAAACATCAATTTCTGATGTCTACTTGAAAAGAATGGAGCAAAAAAATGGAGTTGGGAAGGGGTATGTAGCGTAATTTAAAATCCCTGATTTTGTGTAAGCGGTGTGAGCATGAAGCTCCGAGGAAGATCACTGCAATAGAAACGAAATAGAACAAAAGGAACCCCTAAATTCTCAGGAGAGGACATCGTTGTCAAAGTCAACTACATTTAATGTTTAAATATAATTATGAAGTAATTTACTTTCTAACAAAAAAATGAGCGGAAGGGTAGTAAAAATTTTTCCCTAAAAAATGATACTGGCCCTGTTTTGTAACCAACATATTGCTGAGCAATATGCCGAGAATGAGATTAAGCATTTTGGAGAACATGTTTGCTCCCTCAGAAATATTAAACGTGGTAATTGGCAGGAAAAAAGTTGATGTCCAAGAGTTTTTTTTCTAAAATGCTATTCCTGTACGCATTTTACAAAGATCTCTTTGGTAAACAACACATTCCTGCCAGAAATGTTAATTTTGGTGATTGGTACACAACAATTTGTTGTGAGAGTGCTCTTTTTGAAAATGCTGTTCCTATAAGATTTTAGAAAGAGCTCTTTGCTGAACAACACATTCCTGAGAATATTGCCCATTTTACACATATAAAGTGCTAAGTGCTAACTGCTAATAACAATTGTTGTCAAGTCGTCGCCTAGTCGACGACTAGGCAGGCATTTTCTGAATGGCGACTTGCATGTCGACTAGCGACTAGGGTAGACTAGGCGACTGGGCGAGTTAAGCGATGCCTAGGCGCGCCTAGGCAATGACTAGTCTGTGAAGAAAACCTGCCCATTCTGAACCAACCCAATTTGACCCAACCCGAGCCAAATTTCATTAAACTTTAAAAATTACTCAATTAAACACAGTCTCCCTCGATGAGTTCAATTAGCACAGTCGAAATCTAAATCTAGTGAATCGACATTTAACTATTCCCAAATCGCGACGTCTCCTTCATCGGCGTCTTCCAGAGTTTGCAGTTCCAGAATCAATTTTTTGGAATTGATTCTTCTTCATTTTCTAGAACTCCCACCGTCCCACGCTCTCTATCCATAAGTAACATCTCTCTATCTTGAATTATTTATCATTAAAGTATACTCTTAATTCGGTTTAATTTTATTTAATTTGGTTCATTAGACTATTAAAGTATATTATACTCTTAAATTTTCAGTTTCATTAATTTTTTAGTGACTATGTTCTACCTTTAAACATAATTTTATTTTGGTAATGATATTTTGTCATATAAGTATATATAGTTATCTTAGGTGAATGAAGATATATAATGTTAAAAATTTCAATACTAATTGTGATTTGTCGACTAGTCTACGACTAGTAGGCCGACTAGTCCACTAGTCCACTAGACTCTCCTTCACCGACTCGACTTGACTTGTCGACTTAACAACCATGACAGTAATAACAATATACTATGTTACCAAACATCTTTTACAAGCTATTAACTGCTAACTACTAATCAAACCTGCTAACACAAAATGCTAACTCTTAAGAGCTAACGATCAACTGTTGTCAACTTGTCATCCAAAAAAAAGGCTATAGTACACATTCAACTACTTTTTGTTGAGAATATTTTAAATGAGAAACATTTCCCATGACATTTCACAGCAATCAAACGGATCTAAGACTAGAAGTTTAAGAACTAAGTTAAAACAGCTCACAGAGTTCATATAACAGGAAAATAATGTAGAAAACTGATAGGAAGAACAGATTGGTATGCAGAATAGAATTTTTATTGATGTAAAAACTGTACAGGAATATTTGTGTTCACTAAATATATATATAGAGAACAGACCAACATGACTTTTACTAACCAACACAACTATTACAAACCAACACACCTATTAACAATAGAAACTACCCATAACTGCCTTTTAGAAACTGCCCTATTGTTTTTTATTTAAATTAATTAAATATGTAAAACACACTAAACGACACCACACTAATTGACTCTATACTAACTGACCCAAACATCGACTCATTACCCATTCGGTAATATGTGAACAAACCCGATTAAATCTAACAATCACGCCCTTAATCGTTGTTTGTTCACACTGATCTTCACAACAACGTTGGTTCATCATCTTCAATCAAGTTTGCAATCTGTTCCTTTTGATCCCATTTTGGACATTCGTTCAAAAAATGCCCTAACTCATTGCACTTGAAGCACCTAACGTGACTCTTATCACGCTTAAACCGACCATCATCCTGACCTTTCCCGGACCCCCGACCTCTACCTCGGC